TTTAAACAATCGACAGCGAGCTGAAGACTAGTAGGAAAATTTCGAATTCCTTTAAAAATTGTGGCGGCCATTCGTGGTAACGCTGCGGTCGTGATGATATTTCTCATTGCAATTCCCTTTTTCATGTTTTGAATTGCAAGCACCACTTAACTCCACAGTTTATGGACCAATCGGATGCGCGCAGATAAACTTGAGTGTCCAGAATAAAGCCTCCAGCGCGAATAACAGAAATTCGTTACTCAAAACTAAATCCGTCGACATCTTTCGTTAGAATTGGCCATCCGTCATTCTGCCTGTACAAGTTATATAGTTTGTGATTGCTGAACTACACGTGGTTCAGTAAGAAAGTCGAGAAAGTTAAATCACGCTTACGGCATAGCTTGTACACTTGCGCCGAAACGTGAAATTATGCCTTCAAAACCCGGGGATTCTTTAAAGTGGGGAAACTTTAAAACGGGATATCATTGTAGTGAAAAGTCAAACAGGAAATCTTTTTCCTCGCAGCGAGGAAAGTAGAAAGTAGATCCAATCAAATTTGTCGATGGCCTTTCCGCCAAAACGAACTAACATGCAAGAAAAATATCACCAGGGGGTGGGGAGTCTCGTGTCCCGTCCACACTCTAACGCAGGGCAGCTCGTAGTCTATTGGAATGGCGTATGCTGACTGCTTTAATTTATACCTCGAAAACTTCTCTCTGCAAGTGAGCGTTTGGACCCATTTGAAAATCAGTATTGTAAAGGAGCTGGTGGTTCTAAGTATCCATGGAAACGATAAGAATGCGAGACAGCTAAAGTCCTGTAAATGGTCCTTTTTTTCTCTCCTTGGAAGCGCTATTTAAAAAGAAAAGGCTTCAACATCAACAAAAAATAAATATGTTTAGAAAAGTTTTCTATTCACGTGTGTTTTGAAGAGGAATCGAAGGGATGTCACCTCAGCTTGGAATTGGAGTAGTCAGAGAAATAACAGTGAACGCATCCTTGATTTTAAAAACAGGTACCAAAAATTCACCTTCAACTCATAACTTATTCATTGCTTGTGGATCGACGTTTGAAAGTCTCACTAAAACCGTGCGTCTTGCGATCGTAAGGGATATAATAACAAGTGAGTTTTGAAACAGGCAAATATTGAAAGAAGCCGTCTGCTGTTAGTCGATTCAACACTCAGGTGGGAGAGAGAGGCGAGACCAGTGTTTAGAACGATTCTTTATTTTGGTGTGAGATGAAAAGCCTGTGGTGGAAATAGATTTGCTAGTAAAGGGTAGGTAACGGGTTGAATAAGGAACTCTCCTCCGAAATCCCTAGCTTGTAATTACAAGGTAGGGATTTCGCATCAGAACATTGTTCAGTTTTACAACTGATAACTCTAGTCTGTTTTCCGGGCTTGTAATACAAAACGAAACGAGAAGTTTCTGTTAAACACACATTTTGGTGCTCCAAATTGTGAACACAAAAGAGAATGCGATACTCGGGAAGAGAAACTGAAAAGTCCTGATAACATAGCTTGCAAAAAGAGGAACCTCGGGGAAATATGAACAAAATTTGACCGAAGATCAAACTTTGCAAGCTAACTTTCCTAAAAAACAAATCGAACATTACGATCAATGTGTCAGAAGCTTTAAAAACTTTAAAATCATCAACAGGTCATCTTTTCTCTGGTATATTCAAAGTGAATTTGAATTTTACCGGTACCACTGTCTGATGTTACTTGTGGTTTAATTTTTCTTTCTGCTAGTTTTCTAATTCGTTTGACGAGTGAAAACGCACACGAACAAGACTTAAACCAACTTTTTACTATAATTTTGGCGTCTCACTTCAAAATGTTTGATTTAAAAAATGAAACATGAATATTTTATACGCGGTAGATGTTATTCATGCAAGAATCAACGCTTTCTGAAAACGTTCAGTGAACCATTTTAAATTTTCGCTTGGTTATAAAATAATGGTAAAATAGCTGCAAAAATAACAATAACCCCATCTATCATCATTTTTGTATTTGCCAAGCTTTTGAAACAGCTTAGAGGAAAATGCCAATGCAAAGATTCCACATAACGGTCAAATAAAACATTCTAATTGTCCTGATTTCAACATCATTTATCCACTTTGGTGTTCGCCTCTAATGGTTTGCATTTTGGATATTATGAGATAAATTCTCACTGCACTAAAACATCTCAACGGGTAAATATAACGAAAGAACTGAAAAAAACTTAGTATTCAACTAATTCTAACAACTGACAACTGAAAACGTGCGTTACAGTCCTCTACATCTTCGATAAAAAAGTATTAGCTTGGTTTGTTGATCGCATGGGCGGGACTATTTAACATCACCGATAAACGTGGTAAATATCCTCTTTTATTCTACAATTAATTTCTGCTGAGCGAAAAAAAGGAAATTTGTGACGAAAAGTCAAAGCAGAAGAAAGACTATGTTTTATTCTTTATGATATTAGACATACATTTTAATAACATTATATTACTGTGGGTAAATGCGCGAATTAAGTCGTTAAAACGCGATCATGATAATTATTTCATATACGGACTATAAGTTTACAGTTTTTTAAAATAGTCTAAATGCTGATATTACTTTTTTTCTTTATAGGAGACTTCGTATCATGAACATTACCACAACCTTGGCATGGCTAATTACAGCCCACTTTATCCAGGGGCTCATAGGTGAGTTACACACTGCAAGACCCTCCAAAAGGCCCTTTTGCACTGTAATGACCCAATAACGGTATGAAATCCGAGCGGCAATGCCCTCAAAAGCGGAAGAAAAAGAGTAAACGCCTAAAAAAAAAATGAAATTTCTTACTGAACTTAAAAGCATAATATGGTAAATTAGATACACTCACTAAAATAATAATAATAATAAAAAAGATGAATCTATGACTATTTCATTTTGTAAAAGAACGACATCTATCCTGTACAAGGTTACTCTCATTTTTACGTTTGCGGATGATGCCCCTAATGTCCAAATATATTTTTAATGAAAGCCATTGAACAGCACTATCATGTGGTGATACTCGGTTCATATCTGCAAAATTGAACTGACTTAAGAATTTTTTTTAGTAACTCTTTGACATTTAGCTTTATTCTAACTAGCCACTCTCCCGCGTTCTTCTCCTTATTCAGGTCTTCCAATAGACCGGGAGCTTCTTCGTGTCAAAAGGAAGGGAGGAGGAGAGTTTGACAACGGCGAGGAACTCATCAACAAAGTAAGAAGATCGCAAGACGACAAAGAAACTGAGATCAGGCACAAAAGACGATTCTTTGCCATAGACACCACTGAACGTGAATCACAGGAAAGTTACAAAACCAAAATGGAGGCCAGATCGTCCCGTTCATCCCGTGAGGATAATGACATCACAGCAAAACGACCCGAGAGATTTCGACTCAGAATTCACAAGAGAAGCCACGACGAAAGCTCTTTGATCAAAGGCGATACCATTTCTGGTTCCGGCCAACAACCAGAACCAGGCACTTCCGGTTCCGGGTTATGGAGCGGACCTTTGCAGCACTCAAAGAGAGACAATAAGCGAAGCATGAGTTCAAATTCGCTTGACAGCCTCATTGCAACATTACGGGCGATTAGCTCTCTCGCTCCAGAGGATAATGACAATTCAGATAAAGAGATCGAGTCCTCGGAATCTGGTTTATGGCTAAAACCAGACAATGCAATCGATGATAAACTGCCGCAGTTTTTCAACGAGGAAGCAAGCTCTGGGAGCGGAGAAGACGCCGAGAAAGCTCTTAACATGTTGAGCGAAACGGCGCAAATGGAACTAAGCAAAAATGGGGATGAAGTCAGCAGTGGCTTAGCAGTAAGCGAACCAAAGGTTAGCAGCGAGGAGGACAAGCCAGATAACGGCGGGAAATTGTTCCGACGTGACGTGAAGAGTGATTCACTGGCGGACGATTTAGTAGCTGCCGCTGAAAACGACGATAAAAGTGATAATTCTGAACAGGAGGATCATCTATCTTCCTCATCAGGATCAGGAAACGAGAAGCAGGAAGCCGAAGATGAAATGTCACAACAGCCAGATGAAGACAAAATTAAAGAACAACCGGACATAAAGACAACACGAACGTTAGCGGATGCCCTGCTCCCTAACGCGTTTTTTCGCGTGAAGAGATCGTCTCAAGAAGACGCCATGCTGCTGTCTGAGAGCAACCTAGGTGAAAATGACGCCTTGGTTAGCAACAGTCTTGTAGCGCGCTTTTACCGCGACCAAGACGCCCTCGCCGACGCACCGGACATTACGGAAGCTTCGGTGGCATCCCTTCCTAGCGAGACCGAAGCTGTTTCCAGCCTCGATAAAAAAGTAAAGCCTGTGAAACGAGAAACATATTACGATCACTCCGGAGACTTCTCAGAACCAAGAGTTGTGTACACAAGGGAGATAACTGAGGCCCGCGATCCAATCATAGAGCGGCCAGCAGTCTACTCACAGAGTACGGACGAGAGCGAAATGGATTCGAGTTTTGGAGGCGATGATGATGATGACGATGACGCTACTCTAACGATTCATGAAAGAGAAATTAGAGAAGATGGTACGGTGAATAAAATAGAATATTCAGTCATTGTTCGTACAAGCAAAGAAAAATAAGGGACAATAAGTGAATTTAAAGATGCGGGAATGTTTGTGAAAATGTAAACTTACATTGTTCAACATAAAAAATAATCGATGGACTTCGCAAAGCGTCTGTGAAGACCAAGTGATTTTTGTCTGTGGGTCGCCTGTTTGGTGGGCATTCGTTAAGTCAATGATTAACCCTTAGTATTTTGACAAACTATTATAGCTTGTCAAAGTAATAAGCCTCACTATTCGTACAAATGTATAGCAAGAATAACAACTATAACATACTACCGTCAAATTTCTATTTTTACAAAAGGGAAATTGTCAGCACTCAGGGGCGAAGCCATGATATTTTTTTAAAAGGGGGGTCACTCTGTGTGAAAGTGAGGGTACTCACCGGATTGTCGTGTCGTTTTCGCCACCTGTTGTAGGCTGTTTGCTTAAAAAAGGCATACAAAGGGGGGAGGGATCACGGGGAAACTCCAGGACCCCCCTAGCTACGGCCCTGGTAGTGGAGTGGAAACAGTGCCTCAGTACAAAAGGGCACTCACTTACATATTTGTTATACATGGATATCTTATATCTATATAGGATATGTTGGTTGCTACGAAGACAAGTCTCCTGACCGCGATCTTCCCACAATTCTTTCGGTGCCAAACCTGACTCCTGACTCGTGCCGCAGTGCATGCCAGGGAGCTGGTCACGCGTATGCCGGAGTGCAGTATGGGTATTTGTGCCGGTGTGGTGACTCGTACGGTAAATACACCAAGGTATCGGATGAGGAGTGCAATGCGCTGTGTGTTGGGGATCGCGCTCAGAAATGTGGTGGATTCTGGAGGAGTGCAGTATTCACGACCGGTAAGTGGGATCTACCGCTTTTCAACACTTATGTGGAGCTCCATCGGGTCAGGAAAAATACAGCAACAACAAGCTAAGATTCTGCCACTTGGAATGGTTCTTGGTAAACCAAATACCCTCCACCTCCATGATTAATAAATTATGATCCTTCCCTAATTTAAGTTATCAACGGGTTTAACTATTGACCACAACATGCCAACCGAAAAATGGGATTAATATTTACCGTGAAACATCAGTCTGAATAGGACAATCACATGACTTTTGGAGGGCATATAGTTTATTTGTGGCCCGAGTAGCATCATTTGCGNATAGGTGTTAGCGTCGAGGGTTCCATGGATAAAGTTTAAACTTAAACCCGAAAATTGCCAAATGAAGGGCGTTTAATTGTCACTTTTAAATGAGGGTCTCAACGAGTTGAAATGTTAAGGGTTCAATGGACTGTCAACCTTTATAAGGTCGCCACCTTAATGTGACCTACTTAAGGACAGCAAACCATCTTTTTTCCCCCTGGGTAATGTTCTTTGCGGTTGCGATGAATACTATAACTCTATAACATATCTTCCCCTCATTTTCCAATACACAGCCGGAGCAATGCAACCCTCAAAGCGCGGAAACTTCTTCCACATTGAAAGCGTTCAGCCAATGACAGAAGGTATGGTTCTGACATTTCAAATCTTTTGTCCACAAACTAGAAATTACTAGGTTTATAAAATTTATTTTTTCTGCGACGTTCGGTTTTCATTTTAGATATCTTCGACATACCCCGAAATGAAATCGCCTCAGAGGTGCACGACGCACAGGAACACCAGTCATCAACCATACTAACAGAAACCTCGCATGTGACAGCCTCAGCACCCCTAGCTCCTGAGCTATCAGCATCACCTGCCTCGGAAGCTACCACACCCGAGTCATCTGGAGCATATATTCAGGAGATACACCGTGAAAAATCCCTACAAGAATCTCCAGTGCCATCAACTCCGGCGCAAACCGCCAAACAGGAAGATTCTGCTGCGCATGCTTCTGGTGACTCTACTCCGCTGACTCCTGAGTCCGAACCTGCAAATGACCCTACAACTGCGCATACTCCCGAGATCGTATCTGCGCCAGCGATCTCATCTAAGTCTCCTTCTCAAGCCTCTCTCTTATCAGAGTCTAAACCGTCTCTAGATCCGCCCACTGTAACCAACGACCAGCCACCGAAAATTGTTCGCCCTGGGAACAATCAAGCACCCCAAGGTACCCATGTGAGTCAGCTTGTGTATCTGCATCAGCAACAAGACATTTTATCCAAGCCGACCCCGAAAGCAGTCATCGCTGTGGCTCCTGAGAGAGTGAAAGCGGGAAGTAAGTTCATAAAGTTTTAGATGTTAGCAAAAGCTGAACCGCATGTGTAACCAAACTGTACCAGACTTCCGTGTGGGCTAATTTGCAAACCTCTATTCCAAAGGTCTTAGAAGGAAGCATGTTGACTGAACAATAAATTCTCTCGTGCCATTTTGCTTTGTTTTGTTTTGTTTTTTTGTTTTTTTGTTTTTCAATTAAATCTTTGTTTTTGTTTCACTTCCAGCTATAGCATACACAGGAACAATCAAGCTAAAACAGAGCTGGCTGGATCAGTTTGAGGATGGAAATAGTGCGGAGTCAAAAATTCTAACGGGGAATATCGAGCAGGCGGTAAGATTGACCGTTTCAATTCCTTCATAATAATAATAATAATAATAATAATAATAATAATAATAANTCTTAGCGCCAATCAGTAACACAACCATCACCAATTACTGTTGCCCATGGCTAGGCGTGCTGCCTTTCACAGCAAAAAATTCATCTGAGCTAATTTTGTTAATTTGAATTCGTAGCGGGATTCACGAGTGTTGTGTGGTTTCTGTCTGGTGATTAGCAGTTTTTCCCTGACGATAGAAAAACTCCAAAGTCTTTTAGTGTCAAGGGTGTTGGTTACGTACAAGTAAACTAATGACATTCATTTTGCTCCACAGTTTAAGCGTATTTTCAAGAATGAGCCCAAATTTGTTAATGCTGAGGTGGTAGGCTTTAGGTAAGACACTACTGAGAAAATCGATTGAGTTTGCATGAAATGAAATACCATATGTAATGCCGCGTGGTGCGGCGATGTACTGTAATGAGACCACTTCATTGCAGTGCCTTGTATTAATTTCATGCGTTGTTGGATGTTTACTAAAATCGTAGAGCTGAAAAAAAAAAAGAAACACCCTGCATTTTGATTAGCGACATGCTACTCGGTTGAGAGAACTGACAACAAGTCACCACACACACAACAAAATACCTTGAGATTGGGTTACTAAATACGGGAATTAAAATCTATCTCATATTCGGAGATCCAGGTATCCGAGTTAGGGGAAAGTCAAACGGATGAAAGCAATGAGAATAAAAGTTGGTAAACGTTTGTTCGCACCGCTTTCGCCCGTTTAACTTTTACATACTTTGTGGTAAAGCTGATAAGACGTTAATCATCAGAATCAATGGAAACGCATTCGGATTCTCATTCGATTTACAGGAATCAGCTATTTATTTTCAATTTGCTCCATGCCTTAAAAGCAAACAAATCAACAAACCACAACAACAACCTCTATGTATATGTTCAAGTTTGAGATCGTTTGACAACTGTACTTCAGCTTACTGTCGTGTTTATGGAGATTGCTCGCGCACATAAACCAACGCAACGTCATAAAACAACTACATTTCTACACTTATCCATTCTATTCTTTAGGGAGGGGCTGGTGAAGCACAACCCTAACACTATTCGAAAAGTCATAGCACCTTTCATCTTAACGTTCAAGAATGGCGTCAAAGGCATCGAAGAAAAGTTGAAGAACATGGTACAGAACTTGGGAAAACTGGACGACATGCCAGTCTACAAAGATTCCCTTCAAATAGCTGGTAAGTAAACAACAGATCGTGATATTAGAACGCAAGTAAATTCAGTTTCATTGGAAGCTCTTTTTCGATCACTTCTTGAGCCTACGGGTTTAGTCAGTTGATAAGAAACATGACATATATTGTAGCGACATGCTCACATGGCAAATTTTCCGAGTCAACAATCTTTAAAGCAGGATTTCTTTAAGCTAGCGTTGCAAAATGTTCTACTGAATGAACGAAAGGAGGCAGAGGGCGAGGCCGAAAAAGCCTTTTTAGACCCAGTGTTAGTACCTACAAGTTTCTTTACTTTTTGGAGATATTAATGGAAAATAATTTTCTTTTGGTTTGAAGAATACGGCCATTCACCAGCTGCAGAGAAGGCAAAGACTGTAAACGAGATGAGCAAAGCTAAACACGAAGACCAGGATGAGAAGCGAAGTGCTGTGAACGTTCCAAGTAAGAAATGATTAGTTTAAAGAACGTCAGCAACCAGTTTTGTTAATCAAAAATTGACGAAACAGCGTAACGGTGCTACTTTCAAAACGTGGATTCTTGCTGTGAGGCAAAATGCCAGATTTCCACTTAATTTCCAACAAATGTCTAGTCCTCGTTGGTTCAAGGTTTGAAACGTTTTGGGGTTACCTTTTCCCTACACCTTAGTCACTCTAGCTCCAAATATTCGTGTAGACAGACCGATTCCTATCAAAGGTATAATTCTAGTAATATATCAAACACGGTCTTTCGTGTTTGATATATCTTCTCAATCGAAACTAAAACTAAGGAGTAAATGGAGAATCAAAATCGTAAAAATGTATGCTAATTAAGATCAGATATCCAAACACCGTCAAGGTCCTGATTTCCTGAGTTTGAGAATGTAATTGCAAAACCTCATAACACCCTGTCGTATGAGCTTCTGGCGCACGCCTGACGTTGCCTGGTCATCTTCCACCGTCTGAAACAGATCGTGCAGTTATTTAGTGTTTCGGAACAAATGAATTTAGGGTCCGTCCACACGTATCCGGATATGTTGGAATCCGCAACTTTTTCTTTCCGGATACGGCTTCTGTCTACACACATCCGGCGAAAAAGTTGCGGATTCAAAAATATTCGGCAGCGATCCGGATATTTTTGGATCCGCTCTCCAGAGTGGAAAAAAAAAAAAAAAAAAANTTGGATGCGTGTGGACAGGCGAATTCGATGTGAATACGCTACGTGTGGATGGGGCCTTACACTAATTTCAAATCTCTCTTTTTCAGACGGTGGCGTTGATCCATTTCTTAAAGGCATCTTTAGTCAAATTTCGACGTGACAACCTTAATTCTATCTATCAAAGTTTCTAATACAGGTAAGGAATTGTCCCTAATCGACATGACCAATTTTTTAGGTCTGTCGTGTGACGTTTATTGCTATCCACGAATGTGTATTAATTGTCATCTTTTACTGATTTCAGAGAAACCATACACCTTACAGCTTTTTCTGATGAAAGACTTCTTTGGAAAGAAGAAAAGAGCCACACAAGTATTAACTCACTAAATACTGAGTTGTTCAAGAAAGGCTTGCCCCAACAGCAACATTTTACGACATAACATTAAAATCGCCTTTGTTTTCGTTTTCAGAAACTTACAAGGAAATAGTACGTAGAAGGTGTACAAGTTATACTTCTTAAGCATCGAACTTCAGAAGCAAAACCTTGAAATAAGTAATGTTACTTGGAAAAGGGATCAAAGTACGTCGAAAGCAAGATGAACTAAGTGTTCGTGTGATGGAAATACCTCTTGCTAACGCCAGAAATCTCACTCATGCATTATTTATTGATTTTTTTTTTTAAGTGGCACACAACAGCTGAGCATAACGAATTAAAGGAGTCTAGTGATTCTGAAATGACAGAACTGCGATAATTTTTATGTTTACTCTGTACATTTTAAAAAAATAATAAAAACAGAAGATAGAACAACTTTATCATTTGTTTTAGTGTTTTAATAAAAACAACACTAAAATGAGGCAACAACAAGAAGTACAGCATGCATCCATTGTCTGAAAACGTAAATTAGAATACTCTTCTAATATTATCGAAGTGCCGTTTCCAAACACTTGAAACGAGTACAGTTCGGACACCGTTTGTAGAAAAAGTCAATTATACAAAGTTTGTTGGTTACGCTGCTTTCATCTCCTTTAATCTCATAACTCGTTTATTGAGTTCGTGTGGCTACAGTGAGAAGAGCGTGAAACGAATTGTCATTGTACCACCACTATTTAGACGGAAACATATATATATCGCAAGAATATTATCCTTACAGTCAATTTCCTCCTACCTTACGGTGAGAGGAAGATCTAGCAGAAGCATCGTAACTCACTTAGTCGCCTCTGAACAATGTTACATATATATATTCAAATGATTACCCTCTCATTGATAAAAATGTTTTTCTTCAGATTAAAACAGAAGCGAAACATTTCAATACTCATTCTCAATCCTAGTTGAGCTAGGTAGAACAAAAGACCGTAAAAAAACAAACAAACAAAAACAATTAAAAGACAAAACAAAATATAGCGCCGTAAGAAACATTCCATTACAAGTTCACATATGAGTTCACGAATTGGAAATCCTGTTCCCCAAAATCAATTGACGGTTCTTGACAAATGCATATTTTAACACAACTGTCAATACCATTTTTACGTACATGTATATTTTATCGAGCACAGCGGACATACCATTTGCTTTCTATACATTCAAATTACCCCTACAATGCTCCATGCACACAAGTTCAACTTACATCAACAGGCATTGTCTACTAAAAATATATATATATATTTAACAACACGACTTGCCACCCTTGTGGTTACGTGGTTAAATTTGCTGTTCAGGCTCGTTGGGAAGAAACCGCACTGATCGTCAGTTTAAATGTCTCGGGCAGGCCACTACAATTGTTTGTAAAGTGAAGTGTCACACACTTTAGCACATTACTAACTATGATTACAGGGATAAATGATGGCCGGGTACCTGAAGATTCTCATTGTGTGATTCATTTTGCAGAACGAATTCATTTTGCAGAACGTTTGCTTATACCGTACCACGAGGAATCGCCGTAAAACTAAACGTTATGTCCGTGGGTCTGTCAGGAAACAAAGACACATATGGTCTTTTCCCAGTAGCATGAGAATGTTGCCATCAGGGTGGAACTGCAGAGACGTGATTTGGAACGTTACTGAAACGAAGCCACACAATTTTTAGTATTAAAATCATTGAGGGCGAGGCAATGAAGATCAAAGCACAAATACATGCTTTTATGGCTTTAAGGCAATGGCTACCGAGCGCAAGTGCATGTCCTGCGGGGAGTAGGGTCAAAGAGCTTGGGACGAGGAAGTAATGGGAGGGGGGAACGGGGTGCAAAGGTCTACTAGGGAGAAAACACGATATTTCCATGTGTTCTTACTCAACCCAAAATTTCATCCGCTACCACGACACGCCCAGTCCGAGAAGTAAGAGCGATAGACTGTGGTCGAGGAAACCAGTTAGGTTTTTGTCAACAGAGCCAACACTAAGATTTGACTGAAACCAAACAAACAAAGAACCAAACACAGCAATATCGTTACCTTCTGTGGGTACAACCACTGACACACAGCCTGCAGGGGACCACATGTAAAGCTTGCTATTCGCCGTACAAATTGCAAGGCGTGGCTGTTTAGGGTCCCATTGGAAAGCTACGACATACAGAGATTGAAAGAAATCAGATTTAAGTGGGTTTTCAAATAAGCTTACAAAACATTTTAGAAATCGCTACTACAGCTTTCAAAACAGCTGCAAAATGACACGTTTCTCGAGTTCAATCATATGGAGACGTTTCGCGTTTAACAGCTCTGCACAGACTGACTGGCACATTAAATGCAATCAGCACAAACCTCTGACAGGACTGGACTGTAGTAGCATTGCTGTCAGACATAACTTGGAAACTTCCCACAACCACACAGCGTTCGGCATACTGTCTGCAAAAGCCACAGAAAGATATGTGAGTTAAAAAAAATTGAACAATTCCAAAAATCAAAGTAGGCTCGATTTCCGCCGTGCTCTTGAGCCCCGTCTGCCTAGTTCCTGTACTGCTTTCTCTCAGGCCTTCACGGTCAATTGATTTCGGTGACTCGAACCACGTGAACCGAAAACGATTGACCGAGGCGAAATATCGAGGCCTAGGAACTAGGCAACGTCCCTTTCTGAAAAGAGTGGAGGAGCGCGGGCTCCTTTCACGAACAGCGGCCGGTAAACGAGCCTAGAAAAACAAGGCAACAGTCCAAAAAACCTGCAGTCTTCTCCATTTTTCAACAGAAGTTATCTCTATTTCCCATGCTCTTCCAAGGTGTGGGTAAACGGGTTAAAGAATTCCATGCGTTTTGAAGAATTCCATACTTTTTTTGCTTGGCCCAAAAGCCATGGTATCCACCGTTTGCTCCACTGTACTTACCATTTTTAGTCGCCAGATATCTGTTGTCTCGACTGAAGGCAACTTGGCCAACTCCAATTTTGGGGTTCGCTTTTTCTGGGTCCGGTTTAACATAAGGAACCTGAACTGGGACTGGTTGCACCTCATCTAAAAATTATGAATAGAATTATGAACATTAGTTTTACAACCCGGATTGTTTTACTTCAAAAACTCAAATACGTTTTCCGATTGGAGAATCTAACGCGTTACGTGCGATGGGTCAAAACTGGCTTACATCAACTTGAACTTTCGACTCGCACATGATCAGCTTGTGCACATTAAAACCGCGGCAAATTTGTGTTCCAGCCGGCATAAAGCAAGTATTTTTTTGTCGCAGTTTGTTCTATTTTTGAGTTGGGAGGTATAACAAAACACCTAATGACTGGCCCCACGGGAAAAAGTGAGTTTTGTTTCCTGTCAACCCTCAATGTTCCCCTCGGCAAAACAAAACTCCTTCGCTTCGTACAACATTGAGGGTCCAGGGGGAAAAAACTTGGCGCTCATCATTAAGTGCTCACTAAATGTAGCTGAAAATCATTCATTCCTTATGGATTACAGCTTCCAGGGCATTAGACAGTGTTAGCTAAGAGCAGTGAACACCATCCTGAGGAGTGAAAAGGAGAAGTTTTGCGCAACCCACGAATTTTCTCTATCTCGCTACTGACAAGATGACTCTCTGTGGCTGTACTGGTTTTCCTTCGACAATGTAAAATTAAAGCAAAGGATCTCGCCATAAAATAAATGAATAGCTTGAGCACAGACCACGGGTGTCAATTCTTGCTTCTGGCGTGTTCCCTACCCCAATAAGCTCTGTGGTACGTTTATTGAGAACGTTAATTTTCAAATTGTCCGCCCTCACATTTACTCTGTACTGTAAATCCTCCAGGAGGCATACTCTCTCCTCTGAGCAGAGGTGGCTTTACTTCCACCTCTTTGTATACAATCTAAAAAAGAAACAAATTACCAATAATTATTGATTACCACAACAACAAGAAATGAAATATTTCCTTTGAAATACACAGGAGCACAGGGTGGATGCTGAGCTCTTTGCAGCAAAACATTAACTAAAAATAACGTTGTAAAGCAGCTAGAGAATTGGTGAAGATCACGATGGAAAAAGAGGCAAGGTTAGAGTTCAAAGTTCAAAATGTAGTTTTTAACTCTCCCCTCTGACTTACCACAGAAGGTGAATCAACGGTGTGTGTATGATTGTGTTCTGCGACTAACTTCCAAGTAACATGGTTTAGCACTCGGCACTGAAACAAAAAAACAAAGGATTGGTGTACAGTTATTAATTTAAGGTGGCTCAAAACAGGTTCCAACACTTAGACCACTCTTTATCAGTTGATGCTACAATCATGGTATCAAAAAACTGCCCAATCATTGGTGAACACGTTGTTATCATTTTTGTGACACAATAAGTTACCATAGCAACAGTAGGACCCCCACCCTTAATTACAGCTCTAGGGGCTTATAATTCAAAAACGGCACGGTGAAACTTTTTATATTCTCAGCTTTTGAAAAGCATGATAAGACGCAACTTTTGGCAAAGTTTTAAAAAATTCTGTACACAGGGTTCAGAGCCACCTTAAATTTTCGAAAATTTAATTAAATCTAATATCTGTTTAACCCGGCCCTGTTTACAGCAAGTTAGCCTGACATGATCCTGCGATCCAATCGAAAACCAGCACTTGGTCAGTGGTCAACTTAAAAAGATAAACATGTGACCTCGATGAGCACTAATCTTGAGCCCACAATATGGTCATGTGATACTGGTCAGTGGATACCTTGTTTGACAGGTGTCAATTGACCATAACATGGACGCCTAATATCAAAGAAGGACGCTATAAACAAAGGGTGCACGTCTCTGTCATCCTATTAGCTGGAGTATGGCCGCTATCTTGCGCGACTCTGTCGCCGGCGACGACGACATCGTCGTCGTGCGCGCCACGAGCAACACCGCTTTATAACTATGAGAGAATCAATTCATGGGTTTCCTTTCCTTTCCTATATTTGTAGGTGGCTCTGTTTCTAGGGCCGCTATAACTAGATGAACTCAAGAGAAACACAGGGAAGCCAAAAGTTTGTATTAAGTGTCACATGACTGTACATGTATTCATGATGCTCAGAAATCATCCTTCTTAATATCTGGCCAAGATTTTGCCGATAAAAGAGTGCTGCTTGGCCAATTTGAAGTTTAGAACTCATAAGTAGACAAAAACAAACAGAATTACCTAGAATGCTCTAACCGCTAGTCCCCTAAAGTGCTCGCCTAGTAAGCAAGCTACAGTCAAACCTGTACTAGGCGTACACCCTCGGGGCCCGTGCTAGTGTCCGCTTAATAAAGGGTGTCCGTTGAAAACAGGTTCCCTCAGAATTCGTCTTAAAAGGGTCATGTTAATATTCGTCAGTATTAAAAGACCTTGAAGGGGTCAAATGGCATTCTCGTGAACGGTCAATAACTCTGAAATACAGTATTTTCATGAACAATGACAAGTAGATGAGGTAAAGCAATTTAAGTATACAGTAACAGTATCTATATTGATCAAATCAGGTGAAGGTTCACAAAATCAAACAAGAACAAACGTTCTGTAAAAGCAAAACCGAAAAACAAAATATTGCATTTCTGTGACAGCTCAGTTTGTTGGCAAACTCAAATGACCGATCTACTAAAACGTGGACAAAAAGAATCATACACTCTTTTCGCAGTACCCGTTTGATACAGTTTTCTGACAATAAAAATGACCATAAAAGTCAAGTTTAAGGTGTCCGCGTCCGCTTAATAGGGGTGTCCTTTGAATACAGGTATTTCTTACAGTGAATGTGGGAAAAGGAAAATGGGACTTGCACTGCTGTCCGCTTAATAGAGAGTGCCCGCTTAATATGGGGTCCGCTTAATACAGGTTTGACTGTACATACATGTACATAGTAAACTTGTACATGTACAAAGACTTAAACTCAGTCTCCCCTTTAGAAATTATACCATACCATCATGACGTTAAAATACAGACATGTAAATCTATGTAAAATACCTTCTCATCGAAGCTGCCTACAGCTAAAAACTGACTGGACGGAGACCAACAAACAGATTTGATTCCAAGAGCAAACTCATAAGCACTGTATTTCGACAGGCAACGACCATCCATTGAATACAGCAACAACTGATACTAAAAACAAATTTACGTGGAATTAAGCAGCAGCTTAATAAGTACATTTGAATAGATCGATGAAAACAAAATCTAGAGAAAGTTACAAGAACAGATGAAAGGAAATTTGATGTCAGCTTCAGTTTAGGTATAACGTAAAGACGTCTACAAAATATAGTGTCTACAGTCCCTCATTTTTCTTAGGCTTAGTGAACTAAGGGAGCACACAGGGGGAATGAAACACTTGTGAACCTCATTTTTCCTTTTTTTTTTATTTTTGCTTGTTTTGTATTTGCTTTGTTTACTTTTGTTTTTGCTCTGCTCAGAGGTTTTATTAACGTTATTCAGCACGAGGACAACTGGTTTTCACAGGCGGGGAAAACTTTTTGAACCTACATGTACCTAGAACATGAGTCTACATATCTTTTGTAAGTGCCTCACATTTTAGAACCACAATTCAACTTATGCCTGTTTTGACGTCACAGCCTGACTAGTCCCAGGTCAGGCTAACCCGTGACCTGAACCACATTTTCAGATGGCTAAAATGCTGTGAAAAAAAAGAAGATCAATTTTTTCTTTTTTGATTTCCATATCACGATCTTGTATATATTCCATAAATAAAAGCAATATCTGTCATTGTAAGCCATGAAATATTTTCGCTCGCGCACGATTGGTCTAAACAAGTCACATGCGTGAATATTCCCCAGTCTGAACAGGGGAATATCCAAGAATATTCCCCAATTTTCAAAATTGTGTGCATTGCGAAAAAGATTTGAAGAATAATAAACACAATAGCCTTCATTTGGGGCTAACATATGCTCGGATATTTGTCCTTGGACACTATCTGCTCCTTGAAGCTCACAGTTTTCCTCGAGCTACACTCTCAAAAAACTGTTCGCTTCTCAGAACAGATAATGTCTGCAGGCAAATATCCTAGCATATTTTCGCACCAAATGGAGGCTATTGTTTATTTATACACTTTAAAAGGAATAACATACTCTTAACAGAGAGTCCCACACACAAAGAACCCTTCCATCAGGTGACCATGCCAAATCAGCCAGGTCCTTAGTTTCCACTTCAAAGTGCTATAAAATTAATAAAAGATGAACAATNCTTATTCTCCACACCCATAGCAAATTTATTACTTAGTGGGTGAATTCTCTAAACAACACGGACTTTCACCCGTAGCATCAAGGGAGAATCAAGCATACTCAGCCGTAACAGGTGTTACGGCTTATGGCCCTTAATGACAGCCCTGTGTAATATGGAAGCCGATGATTACAATAGGCAAGTCATGACAGACAAATACGTATAATGTAGATTTATATTAATAATGAAGTGCGACACATTGATACTAATATAGCCTTCTTTGTCCTGTTACTGAAAATACTGCCAATACCATTCAGCACTATTGAACTTAAAGTACACGTAAAACGATGCTGTGACAAACAAATGCAAGACATCCTAATATACATGTACATTTGTAAGGCATACATGTATATTGTATTTGAGCCAAAAATGGTTTTTCATTGAATGTGACAATGTTTTCATATACGTTTAAGGATTGATTTGGACCAAACTTTAGGCTTTTTACTCAATGCCATAGATCATTCTGACATTCTCGCCGCGAATTGAACCACTCACTGCCAAGACAAAGCTAATTACATTGGTGATAAGATTTAGCCTGGACAGGGGATTGCATAACAGGGATGTGCAAAAATACATGTATACATGTACATGTCATCAAAGGGGAGGTGGGTGGTTAAAAAAAATTGGATACAACTTACATGTGTACGACCATGGAACTTAGAGCAAGTAATCGTGAAAGGGGCAAGGAAGTCCCTTGGGTGCTAAAGGGTAGTCAATCTCTGTTAGGACAACAGGAGCATAATAGCATTGCATGGGACAAGTTTTGTAGACATTTTTGCATTGAGAATATTCCAGCATTTCAAACAAACATTTTGTTGAAATGTGATTTTTGATTCAAAACTTTGGGCCTAAATTGACCAAGGATTAACATCATTAAGGAATGATGTACTATACAATGTATTAATGGTACTCTTTTTTACTTTTAATAACATAAATCTTCACTATTACTTTAATTTATTATTTTATTTAATTTCATTTGTCTCAACCTTGGAAATCAATCAATCAATCAATCAATCTTTATTTGTACTCACTCTTGCTTAATAATATAAAAGTTACAATGTTCAATGAAAATATTACAAGTAAAAGTTAGAGTACTTGCTGCCTGGAATGTCCATAGGGGCTAGCGGAGCCAGGCAGACAGTTCACGCAGCCAGTTCCATTTTCCAAACAGAAAGTGTGTATAACTAACCAGACAGTAACATTATGCATGAACTTACTTGTACAAGTCCCCTTTTGAACATTCCACATAAAATGTATAAGGAATCTGAAGACCACTGTGCGTGTATGTATAATAAAATTAAACAAGAGTTACAAAAAGAGAACAATTAACAAGGAAAAAAAAATGTGCATACATAACAAAGTTTAATTGAGTCTGAAGTAAACTTCAAATGTGTAAATACTTCAAAATTGATGTCAAAAGTATAACCACATCCAAAACTTCACTATACCTCTATGTATTGTATAACATCTAAACAGGTGTACAGTTGAAGAATCTGAAGGGTCTTCACATCCCTCACTAACAAACGATATTGAACACAATTACCCTGTAAATTGCATAAGAAACAAGTGAGCTTGTTCAAACTCTAGAGGACTTATCACGGCAATAAATAGAATTTAAAAAATCATTATGATCAAGAGTGCATGAGGAAATTTTCATATCTATAAAAGCTTATGCAAAGTTAGTATAATTTAATACCATAAGAAATGCAAAAGTAAATTGTGCTTTTCATGCATTCTGATTGGTTAACTCAAACATGATTAGAAAGTGTTATTCAACTCCGAGCAGCAATTTTGAAACTTCACAGGATTTGTCAGTTTATTGTCTGAAATATAGAAAATTAATGTTTTGGTCCGCTTTTTATTCAGGTTGTGTGGCACAAGTATACCCCACAGGTACTATAAAAACTTACTGCTGCTTACTGAAACAATTATTCACCTCAGAGTCGGTGAAAGTGGCAGATATTTAAAACGCCGCTTCACCGCTCGGTCAATATTCACCACTATACACCTCCATTTCGGGGAATAATTGTTAAGCAGGTTATCAAAATCCAGAAGCTAATAACCAAGGCCCATGGCATCATTTGTAACCTTGCACCTCTAAAAAAAAGGATCAGAGGAAAAAAAAATGAAACTAGTAACTTACCAAGTATTTTCCATTTGGAGAGAACCTACTCAGCTGATTTGTCTGCTTAAAAAGCTCTGAGAAGTTCATCGTTAGGGAAATATGCTTTCCTGGTACAGTTCAGTGCATTCTTTGCGGTGAAAATATCACAAAATCTCCAATAACGAAACACCAAGAAATTCGAAGGTACCCGCCATAATAACAAACTTGGTAACCAAGCTTGTAGGATAGCGGTTACCACGCATGAGCTCCACTTTATCCGCTGACTGTAAATATTGTTTTCTCGTCTCTTTTCTAAAGACGTGTATTGATCTCATCGGCCACTTTCAAGAAAGATCACAAGGCTAACTTGGAACGATGAAGCTCAAAAATCCCTTCAAAAACATCCCAACGCATATGGTAAGTTTTTTGCCCCTGATCTCCATTTCGTAACAGTTTTACCTCAAGTGCCCGCTTATTTCTACTCTATTTATTCAGCACCCACGGTGTGATGTTCTGTGTCTTCTGTTCAAAATATAAACCACCGTACAAACTAAATTTAAGCTTAACAGAATAAAAGCTTATGAGCAGTTAGATTAATTTATCAGTTTTATTCAGTAACTTCATCAAGCAGAGAGCTCCACGAATTTATGGAAACAAAAGAGGAGATCAATTCATTAAAAAAAAAAAAAAAACACCCCGTAAGTCTGCCAATACCTGCAGTGTACATGCAAGTATACATGTTAGTGTACGAAGGGACGATCTTGTGTAGCTGCTCATTTTATTATTATTTTTTTTTTATAACCAAGCCCTTATGATTGCATGGCTACACTGCATGGTACCATTTCTAACAACTTTAATGTTTATTTGGTCTTAACTTACCTTTCTAAGTTGTGGTACAGCTCTTTGGAAGTTTAGTTCTTATGCTCTATAGGCCTACATGTACTATTTCTTTCTTTTTCAATGTCGTGTACAGTGTAGCCTCTGAGCAGGCTCTAGTGTTTGGCTTTCACACTCAGGTGCTACTATCTTGACTTTTCACTTCAATGGTGCTTGAGCGAGTTTACTAATGACGCATGGGGGGCTTAACTAGAACATGCACAAAAGCCATTAAATTTTGAAGTTCCTCCATTCACCCATGAATAGAGCATTCTGATTGGTCAGAAATGACAAGTGCCATTAGTGTTACAAAAACTAGGACAACCAAGTCAAAACAAATCAATGCAACTCAAAGATTATCTGGCCCAAGGGTACATGCCACTAGAATTAGAATGCAAGTGGTGGAATGTCTAACATTCACACAGATGTAATCACTGCTCAAGGGGCAGAATTCAGAATTCAATTGCTTTCTTGCAGGCTCTCAACTACTTCATACACTGAATCGTCTCTTGCAGCTTAGCTACATTTGTGCCTATCTTGTGGCTTCACTGCTCGCATCTCCGACCTAAACATGAGAACCTGCTTGCAGGCTACAGCATTTACAGTAATTAAAATGCACGCAGAAGCAATTAAACTTTGCATTTTCAATATAGGCTGAAAAAAAAAGAGGAAAAATAACAGCAAATTTTTTGTTAATATATACGTAAGTAGTGTTTCCATGACCTGTTCTCTCACTAGCACCTTGTGAAATCTTCAGATAATAATTATGGCATGGCCAAATCACAGATACAACTTTTTGTCCATAAGGAGGTTTGTCATTGAAGGAAATAGGGATCTTATGTATGAGTTGGGTATATATCTATATGTACATGTATATGCAAGTACATTGTAAGCCATGTTTCAAAGGCATCACTGAACTTCTACCATGAAAAGGTGATGGGATGGGATAGGTTTTCTTCACTGCCAAACTAAAGTTTTAACCTGTGCATGTACTTGTATGTTATTTGGTTGTAGACTAACATGCATGTAATTTGTACAATGCTGTTGCAGGTATATATTCTTTTTTGTACATATGATATCTCTCTTTCGTACTGTTGTAGGACTATGAAGGTCAAAAACTAGCAGAAAGGCTTTTCCACATCGTAATATTGTTTTTCGGGGTGAGTAAAATGATTAAATAAATATATTTTGTTCATCACACATTTTGTCTTGAATCATTTCATGACTGTAAACCCATTTTTAGGTATATGCAAGGTTGAGGAGTGTGGAACATTATGTCAGTATTGTAATGAATAAGTGACGCGAAAAACATGCTATTACTTACGAGATTTTCATGAGTATAGATTCACCTTGAAGCATTTCTTCCACCTCCACAACATGCCTGGTTTTCTAAAGTAAATTCTTTAAGATGTAAAGCAGTTAATGTAGTCATAGAGAGCAAAGTGTAATTAGTTACAAACATCCAAAAAATAATAACAAACAAACAAAAAAGGAAGTCAAACGTTTGAAGAATTCAAATAGCAGTGTATTTCCATAGCACAGAATCCTTTCCCTGTGGTAGTCATACAGATTGTATCATTCTGGTGTTTTTTTTTTTTCCTTGACAGGCTGTTGGTTTTCTCTGGGGTTACTACATACAGCAGTTTGGTGCGACTATTATCATTGTTGCTGCTGGATTTATCGTTAGCTGCATTGTAAGTAATGGAACAATAAAATTTGTTGTCACCTTGCCTTAAAATTGTGATAATATTTTGATAGTATTTTGTGCTTCCCCCTCCCCCTCCACACTACCCACCCACATAGTAAACCAAATCAAAAAGAAGCCCCACCTCCAAAACTTTCAGACTCAAAGTCAGAGTCAGGTTGATCAAAAGCTGATTAGTGCTAACCCAGGATTAAACGTTAACCAAAATATTAATTTTTCTTGTATAAAATGTTTTTCTCTGCTATGTTTGTGAAGTTTGAGATAATCAGATTATTCAAACTCAAGAGGATAAACAAAAAAAAAAATAAACAAACAAACAGAAAACCTCACGGAAAAGGAAAAATTATAGAATCAAAATTGTTGCTAATCCTAGGTTAGCTTAATCAGGCTTTGAACAACCCAGCCCAGAGATGCTGGTATTTCAGGAGAGAGTAAATCCAGAGGACCCAAAGAAAAACCCTGAGGGCAATGCAGGAACCTACAACAAACTCAACCCACATACTTGTATGACACTGGGCTGGAATTAAATAAAAGAAATAAAATAAATTAACTTGGGCACATTGGTGGGAGGCAAGCACTCCCACCACTGCACCATCCCTGCTCCTGAAAAATAAGCCTCACATAGACATTTAGTTCACGCTATTACTACTATAGGAGTTCATCTATATTACTCGTGTGCAACACTATTGTCTGAGCAGTCAACTGAAATTGCTCTTGCATGTTTTGTTACAGTTGGTGTTACCTCCCTGGCCCATGTACAGAAAACATGCACTCGACTGGCAGAAACCACGCCCAGAAAAAACTGACACAAAGAGAGAAGGAGGAAAGAAGAAGCAAAAGTAGTTGCTTTGCTTTTTTAGGTCTTGCTTTGTAATATTAAAATGAAATAGCATTAAATATCGGTACAATTGTACAGTAAATATAAACATGTACAATTCTCTTGTTATTGGCATTTTTACAGATTACTTTTTATTATTATTATTTTTTTTATTTTTTTTTTTTACGTAAGGGACTTTTTCGTGATCTGGTGGCAGTAGGTTGTGGTGAAGGCCTTCCCACTTTTGCACTGCCATGTCTCCACCAGTCTTGAGGGATGGCCTTATTTTTTAACTTTTCTTGAATAAGCAAATTCAAACTTTACCAAATGCGGCTCAACCGCAGGAAACCCTTGCATACAATCAATGTAAACGTCCCCTCCCTTTAAGCCGTTTTTGGTTTTATTTCTGATGGGAATACAAAATGGTATGAGTTTATTTCAGCGTGGTGATAAAAAACCAAAGCGAATGCAAATTACTGTGGACACTCAAGTAAAAACCACTCTCAAAGGACAATTTGTTCATTTGTCTGTCTGTAAGACCAGGTTTTAACGAGCGTGGGAAGGGTGTTTTTTACTGCGGATTTCTGTCTTCAACAGTTGACTTGAGACTTTGTATAAGCTTCCAAAAAAATGCCATCATTTACCTTTTCAATTTGCCATGGGCGATATATGGTTGTTTGTCTTCTTCTTCCTCTCCTCCTTTCTGTGATCCGAAAAACACGTCAAAATGCTTTTCTGTTTATATTGTGACCAAAACAAAAGAATAAAGCGCGCGTTGTTATAAACCAATCAGGTGTAAGGTCCGCTTCTTTTGTGCGCGAGCACGAACGTTAAATAACGAATTATTTTTCTGATAAAACTGCATCGTTTGTCTGAACTCGTTTCTCAAAGAGAAGAAATTCTGTTACCAGGGAATATGTTTATTTCCATAAATATCAGATGTCACTGAGAAAACAGCAGCAGAGGAAAGTGTCGTTGAAAGAAAACTAAAAAAAAATAATAATAATGAAACGGGTTCTTATTTGGAATATTCGTCTGTACAGTTTATCGAGTGTCAATGACCTAAAATAAATCAAGAGATTTATAGCAGTGTTAACCTTGGATCTGAACGCCAGATTGTAGGTAAGAATAGAGCGACACTGCCCGTAAAGAGCACCACCCCTCAAATAAGCGCTCCCTTCAAAAAAGCGCCCCTCCCGGCGGGCAAAGTTAAAATAAGCGCCTCCCCTCGAGTACTGAGACAGTAAGGATGTATAGTTTTGGTCGTGTTTAACTGCAAGCAACTCATGATTATCGACTCATTAAAGCACTGCGAATCGACCGTCGTAACGGATGGTAGTGAAGATCTGCTGAGTTATTGCCTAAAGCCCGCAACCTCGTTCCCAGGGTCTTTGGACCCTGGGAACGAGGTTGCAAAGCCCAACCAACTTTGTGCAGCAGGTGAAGACCGGCTGAAAGGGCTACATTACTAGTTCTTCAAGAGGGAGAGAAAGGATCCCTCTGAGACTGAGACTTCTGAGGGACTGAAACATACATATATTACAATTTGGAAAAATTAAGTAAGCCCCCCTTCAATTAAACGCCTCCCTCGAGTAAGCGCCTCACGTCTTCTCTTAAATTTGAAATAAGCGCCCCGGGCGCAAATTCGACGATTTACGGTATCTTGTTCCTATACGGCTTTTCCCAGGCCTTCACCGTCAATTGTTTCGTCAGTAATTGTTTTACTAGACAGTCTCTTAGCTTTAGTAGCGAAATTACAAGACGTGTGACGACAAGTGGGAGTGTTTCCCGCGCAACAAAGAAGAAAGTAAACTAAATCTTGATTATCGGTTGTAGGTTTACGTCGATAAGTTTAAAATTAGAATACAAGTGAACTAAATTATACGTCGTTAGGTAACAGTCGACTAAAGCCGCATGGTTTCGATGGACAGCATTGTGGTAGTTTTCGCGGCGATGTATATACATATGTAACTAATCATGGCAGCTAATGAAGAACAGCGCGATAAACGCACCTGTTTGGAGGGACTTCTGCTGCCACGATCACTTAAGGTTTTGAACTGCGCTTTTAAGCTTAATTCAGTTAAAATGCAAATGTTTCTGGTAGATTTAAAACCATAACACAAAAACCTCCATATAAAAGTCCTTAAGCTCATGATCAAGTGTACGTATGGTTATTACTCTTCAACACTTGGAGCGGTCTCACTACGGAGCCAAGTGACCGTATTTCACATCTCGTATGCATGGTGCTAGTTAGTGAAAAATTTCAGTTTAAAGCTTACCGACTAAGGCTGCTACGAAACAATTTTAATGATTTTTAAGCGACAGCTGAAAGAAATTTGAAAAATCATCCGAAAGGCGTTAGTTAGAAGATGAGGGGTGTTCGTTTCAGTGTTCAGCCATTTTGGCGGGAATAATGCCCGCCACATTATTTCAGATAAAAACTCCCGAAAAACGTGTTCGGGATGTGGCGAGTACCCGTAAAGCTTACGGGAAAAAGCGACGTGATTTTCGCTGGCCCGAAATTTTCGTGCGCTTTGAGAAACAATCGAAAGTCATTTCGGGGGCTTTACGGGACAGTTTTCGGACCCGAGAAGTTTTCGGGTCTTTGAGAAACGCACGCCAATAGCGTAAAGAGTTGATAACAGGCTACAAACATGACAAGCTACGGGGGATTTCAAATTTAAGACACTAGATAGAGTAAGACTATTATGCATGCTCTCAGAATTAACCATACAAAGTAACAGTGCGTCAGTGAATAGAGCTACACCCAAATTATCGAGTGATTTTGTAAGCCTTGGGGTGTTGACCTGATACCAGTGCGAGTTCACCCCGGTTTGCGGTTCTGGCTCTGTAACACGGTACGTGATACCAGCTTAAAAGGGAGTTTAAGAAACCACGGCAGCGACGCCGAGGACAGTGTCGATAAAAAAACGATTTTATATTTTACCTACGAATCTCGCGATACTCTGAAGTCATTTACTTTGTTTATCACTGCCAAAACTATCCCAAAACTAAATCCCGAACACAGCGATAAATTTGAACTAAAAGTTTAAAACATGACCGTTGGTGGTTCACGTTCTCCAGACAATGCAGAATTTGGTCATTTCACGTTGTTGTTTTGCAGAGGACGGCAAAGAAATGTACTGATTTATAACACACGTGCACAGCCATTGTATTGTTCATTAAATCTTTTGTTTGGTGACGTTCCCATTGCCGTTGCCGTTGCCGTCGTGGTTTTCTTAAGCTCCCTAAAGTAAAATATGGAACGAATCATATATCTCAGTGCGATTCAAGATTTTTGCTCCGAAACGAAAACCCGAATTAGTGTCATGTGACGATGAATGCCCAATCCTATCTATTTAATTAGTATCACATCAGCTGTCTCGTGGCTGAGTGGAACGGGTAGTGCATCGTAGTGCATGTGTAGCCTTCAAGGTAGTGTCAATGAGCCACGTTAGAAGTGGCAAGCGTCCCTTCGCGTCAAAGCAATAGAAAGTTAGCAATCATTCTCGCGTAGAACGAGCACCTCTTCTTATCACACGCAAACACTTTCTTAGTTATGGGTTTACCATATTTGACATATTACCATATTTGACGACCAGCGTTTGTTAAAGACCTCGTAAACTGTTAAAAGACTTTTTTAGCTTGCAGTTTGTTGCCCCATTTCAGAGCATGTGATAATACTCTTGAGAATTCTTGCTGGCAAATTTTCAAATAGTCGCGTTTAGGTGAATGAATAATTTTAAGATGGATTAATGAACAACTTTCTAGTGAATATCACATGGTCTGTACTGTGAAAACACACCGCCCAAACTAAGAAGGTCCATTACATTACACAGCAGCTGGCTGACTCTGTAGCCGCGTTTGGACTCGAGTCGTTTTCCGATGCTTGCTTTTTCACCGTTGTATCTATCGCCGTCTTAATTTTAACATACCGTATAGTTTCTGCCCGTAAATGTTAATACTTTTGGGATTTTTCCGTTGATTCTACACTCTTTTTCATTTTATATATAAGAATATTGTTTTTCCGGCCCAAGCTGAATATTCTTATTTTTCTGTCGAGTTTAGTCCGAAAACATTCTTGTGAATATTTTTTGATTATGGCGTATGACATTTCGGTTTTATTGACTTTGATGGAGTCGAAGTAATTAATTTGGAGCCAGCCTGCTCGTTATGATGTACATAACTTCTTGCAGAAATGTTGTTAGCATCGAGCAAACGGCTTGTGCTGTTACTGTTGTTTTTTGGCTAGTTTTGCCCTTTAGAGGAAGAATTTTACACGGTTTCGTTAAAAACCTATGATTGTATTGCATTTACAAATTTTCAACACACGAAATTATAGCGTTTTCAAAATCTCAGCCTCGAGCTTATTCTTAAATTATTCTTAAAATTTCGCAAATTTCAGCCTCGGCTCGATATTCTTACAAAATATATTCTTATACTGAAAATAAAGATGTATCATTATCATGGCCTACATCACTCAGTCTTTAAATTTTTCTACTGTATTTATTCAATTTTATTTTACTTTATTCTTTGTTGCAATTGTCAGTGAATAAAATTCACTATTGTGATGTTAAGTTAAGTTGGCAAACATATGTTTGTTTATCTGATCTCTACCCCAAAGTTTGGCTTTCAGTTTCTCAATGCAAGTACTTTCATGGTCAAAGACTTTGACATGTAAAAATGGCTGAATAGCTATATTTCTAAAGGCACGTGCATAAATGACAATGGAACCTAAACATTTTAAAGTAGAATTGGTGTTTCTGACAGGTCACGGGACATGTCACGCGACGTTTAGCAGAAAATAGCCATTATTAGAGGAATTGGTGGCGCGTTTTAGAAATATCATCCAACAAAAACGCGTTTTAGATGCAGGTCAGTTATATCCATCCCTTCCCACGTCCCTAACAACAACAACAACAACAACAACAACAAAATGGTACGTGAGCTGCTTATCATGTATTCTCCTAGCTAAAAGCTTACCAATTATACCACCATATGGTATTGCATGACAATTGACCAATGGGCCCGTTATCACCGGGTTAATAAGATAACATGTCAATCTATATATGAATGCATTAAGTTTTTTCTGTTTTCAGAACTCCAATACATACACGTATAAAATGAAGTTGGCCTTCGTTGCCTTGTTTCTCCTTCTTACTGACTACATGGAGTCAGCAGGCACAAGTAAGTTTTAAAGCTCAGTGTGTTTCTTTATATTGAGTATGATTCTTTCCTCGTGTACTGGTAAACAGAGGAATAGGCATTTTATTTTCCTTGCTTAGGAGTCTTTCTTTAGCTGTATGTAGTCATGGTATCGTTGGGTTTTTTGAATCAGTTATTCTGCATCAGTATACAAGCTACAACTGAAGCTAGGATTATCGCGGATTTCTTTAAGGAAAATGTTGCCATTCACTTCGAACGAAAATGGTTCCATTTGAACATCAGAATGTGTAGGTAATTTGGAAACGTATTGAAACATGTTTGCAAATGGTCGACTACGAAAATGATATTATCAAAACTGAAAAATCCTCTCCCAAGTGTACTTATTCTACTGAAATACTTGCACGAAGGCGATATGTAAATAAATGAAAAAGTGACGAGAAAAATAGGGATAGTGCAGAAGGAGTAGACCATATGTAAATTTTTACGTTGACTTGATGCATATCAGTCATGTTTCTTGTTGGAATGGATTGCTTAGGCGACCAATATCCACACAAATGCATGGGAGTCCGGGTAGTTACATTGACATTTTTCGCGTCATTAATCATTCATAACGTAAAACTCGAATTGTTCCAATCTAGAACAATTTGATGCTCCTGTCGAGAAAATTGATAAAATAAAATAGAAATTAAAATAGCAATTACATATGGCAGCCCACATACAAATACCTTCCTTTGTTTTAAAAAGTAAATGAACGGAATATTACTTGAAATTTTGGGCCGAATGTATAACAAGTTTCCACGTGAATATTTATTTTCTTAGCATTTTATTATGGACACATAATTCATCTCACAGAGAAAAGTTCTCCATACAACACACTGTCTGAATTGATTATTGTTCAGCCTATTCCGACGGAAGAGGGAGNTGTTTTCTGTTGTTGCTATTGTTTTTGTCATAGTTTGTTTAAATTGATTTTTATTAGTTTTGAGACATTTTTGTGTCTTTCTGACATTTCTAAACTATCAGATTATTCAAGATGGAGCTGTTTCAGATATCCCGACATTATCACCACTTGATATGTCCCGATCATGCCATATTGCTAACCTTTGGTGAAACATTTTAATTGAGACGAATTCCTTTCAGTGTAATTATCATTGCTTGAAAAATGTCCTTGAAGTTACGCATGTGGGTGTTTAATTAACCCCCCCCCCCCCGGCAAATGTTTGGAGGAAAACTCGTTCAGGGAACTCACATGATTATAGTGACGTCATCGTTTTCAAAATGCTCCACTTTCGAACCGTTTTCCGTCCGCACTAAAACGTTAAGCTGGCGTTTTCAATTTCCTCCGGTTTGACTGAAGATCTTGTTCGAGACCTTTTCGTGGCGGATTAGCTTGTGTGGACGGTAGGCCTAACCCTAGAAATAAAGCTGCGTCTTCAAATTTCTCCAGCGTAGTATGGGCGGAGCCTAAAACGGAATATCTAATAGTGAAGGCGGAATTAGATATGCCTGTTCTCAATTGAACAAATTGACGTCAGTTTTTTATACGTCTGTCCTCTTATTGATGATAAATTGCGTCATAACATTGTCAAAGTGGCTGTGTTACCACGAGCCGCAGGCGAGTGGCTCCACAGTAAACTTTGACAATGTTATGACGAAATTTATCATCAGTAAGAGGACAGACGCATAAAAAGCTGAAGTCAATTTGTTTCTTACAATAACAAGACCCCAAACAGGTCAAATGCCGGGAATAAATGAGGGGAAAAGAAGTATAAACTTGCCGTAAACAAAGATAAGTGAATTTTATTCAAAATGACGCGAACATTGTCAATAGCTTTTCTCGTTCTTTGATTGGCTACTTAAAAAAGTCCATAAAATCTCCTTGGTTAAAAAGTTGAACTTGAAAGCTTGCATAAATTAACATTTTATCCATCTGTACTGTTATTGATGATAAAAATGGGCCAATCAGCGCGCGAGAAATTAGACAGTTATGGTAAAAAGTAAATTTATACGTAGCTTTTGCTGCTGAATTTTAAATTTTGATGCTTTGTTTATTCCTTACAGTTGAAGATCTGGTTGTCCATTACTACGACAAGAATATCAGCACAATTGACCTTCTTAGAAGACTGAACATGAGTTACGCGCGTTTTGATGTGCAAGATATTAAATGTCCACGTTTGTTTGAATACTCGTGTGAGACAGTGTGCCCTTTAGAGAATGAAGACCAGGAAAGAATTTACCGCAAGGCGTGTTACTGCGATAAGTTATGTGTTGAGTTTGGTGACTGCTGTTTTGACTACTTCTTAAGGTTAGTGGATAAAAATGATTATCTTTCCGATAGTGATATAACTTCAATATAGTTTGGATATCATAAATATAAAAAATATTCCTGTTCTTTGGCCATTTCAATTTCAGAAGGAGAAGAAAACAAACATCAAATGGGACCATTTTGAAATCCTCGCTACTGGAAAGTCGGACTTGCGTTGTAAAATTGAAGAAACGCTATTGATCAGTGACTTAAAACCCTCACTTAATGAAAACATTGGAAGTGATGAGAAGCTGTTTCTTTAGTAATTTCTACCGGAAGTATCTACTACCGGAAGTATCAATTTTATCAATAATTTTTAGCTTGACACCGGTGCCTCGCTCTATTTTTAAATTCATAACTTTTTGTTATACAGTTATAACCGTCGCTTCTGAAGAAGAGACTATCCGTAAGGCCAGGGAAGCTTTTTTAATTCAAAAAGGCAGAACAATTTATCCCGATGGTCTGAACATCCGTAAAGGAACATATTAATTGTTTCCTTTTATTATGTTCTTTTATTATTTTACCTTACAGTATGCTTATCTTTAATTTACACCGTCAATTAGTTTTACGTATTTCCAATATGCTACATAAAATCACGTCCCAATGTAAAATTCTCATTGTACCTGAAGAAGGCTGGTTTGGCCAACCGAAATATAGTAAACCTTCAAAAATTCATTCCACGTTGTGTCGGTCGGCTGCTTTTGTATTCTTCATTTTATATGTAAAGCCGATTAGATCACTATTGATCCAACGTATACCAGCAGGATCATCGTTCCGGTTGCTTGCATAAACATTTTATTGTCCTTCTGAAGATGTATGTTGTAACATACGAAATGTCAAACTAATACAGTCAAGATTTTTCAGTAGACCATGCGTTTTCCATTTGTAATGTTTATAACCGCTGTTTGTTTCTTCAACTTGAAAATGATCTCAGGGAGATCGAAACGTCGTTTTTTTACCGCTAGTTTTTATTCTGAATTGTTTTCTTTTCTTTCTGAAATAGTTTGGATAGCACCTGCCTTTTTTGAAAAATGACTTATCTGAGAGTTGATTGAAGTTTTTCCACCGAGACTGCTAAGCAGTGATGACGCGTTCTCTTTAAGCTACGCTACGCGGAACAAGTCGGATTTTCTTACTTACCTAATGCTTTGAATTTCTTATGATTTCGTAACTAACGACAACTGTTGCTATTGTTTTCCGAAGGTGTACCGCTGCCAAAACAGCCGGCAAGCCTTGGGTTCCTAAATTAACCTGCGTAACCTGCAGTTATAACCAGCTGCCATTCATTACAGATAACTATGGTTACGCCATGGTAAGTAGCTGTTCACAACATAACGCCGACAAGAATCTGGAATCTTTGTGTACATCTCCTAAAGCTGACTTCTTTGGAATGCTGCCCGTGTCAGACTTTCAAAACAGGACAACATACAAGAATGTATTCTGCGCCAGTTGTAATCAAGCCAGTAACCTGACGTATTGGATTTTTGCTGCCTCGTGCGTAGGTTACACTTCTTATGACATTCCAACAAACAGATCGCTGATGCTGGCGTTCATAATGAGGAATTGTCAATGGGATTTTGAGCCACCCCGCGGTCATAGTGAAAAAGTGTGTCTAGCCGTAAAGGAAAATTGTCCAGATTCAGAACTTGTTGATAAGGAACCACTGCTAAGAGATTTATGTTCATTTTACTCCTTTCCAGTCTGTCCAGACTTCCAACCAAAGAACCCGCATTGCGATATTTGCAAAGGAAAAGACATAAGCCAGTATTCATGTATATGCAGAGAGACCTCAGGCGAAGTTGGAGGCCTTACACCACCGTCTTTGAATATCTTGTTTGCTTTTTCGTCCTCTTCTCAATCAGTGGAAGTGGGAGAAAGGAAGAGCATTGTAAGGAACAAAGTGTGCGCTGAGGGTTCCGTGTTTGACCCCTTCAAGGAGGAATGCGTACAAATTCATGTACCCATGTCAGTCCCCGAAAGGCCTAACATAAACACTAGAGGTTCAATAAACGGACCATCTATTAAGGGTTTTCCAGATGGAACTTTCATCAATTGTTCCTATGTCAAGATGAACATCAGTGCGGTAACTATTCTGTCTAACGGCTCGATTTGGATTCCTTTACACAAAAAAATATACAACAAGGAAAGGTACGCCATCAATGGCTCGGCACTGCTCCTTTGCGCAGACTTCAAACGCGTTTACACTGAAACCGAGACGCTTGTTTCCATGGAGATAACACCACTTCAGATATTAACATACACGGGCTGCACCATCTCCATGATGTCTTTGATTTCCCTCCTGGGTATCTACATTGCTCTGCCGGAACTCAGAACATTACCTGGAGAGAACCTCATGAGTCTATCATGTGCAATGCTTTTGTATCATATCTTCTTCTTATTGACCGGTCAGACGGACAAACCAAATCTTTGCATGGCGGTATCAGTCCTGCTTCATTACCTTTTGCTGTCTTCATTCTGCTGGATGGGCGTGATGGCTTTCGATGTTGAAAAGACATTTGGAGCAAAAGGTAACTGATTTTATATCGCCCCAGTGGTACAGTAGCGTAGATTTCTAATGAGGTGATCACCCTTAATCATTGACTTCCAGATCTATCCTGTGCAAAGCACAATTCAGTGCAGGAGGGCATGTGTCAAGCATGAAATTAAATTATCTCGCTTTGCTTTCGAAAAGGGGACCTAATTATATGCTCTTCTCTAAAACGGGCAATAACAGCGATGAAACATACAAATGCTTCAATTATATCTTGGATAAAAAGGTAGGGTTAAATTATACAGTAAAGGACTGAAGATAGTCAATAAGCATGGCAAGACAATTATTCTCCACATTCTCAAGCTTGTTTGCTAATTCTTTTTTTGTGTTTTGTTTTTTCCATCAAATACATGTAGGAAAAGCCCGACCTCGTCATGATGACAACAGAAAAACGTTAGTAAAATACAGTATTTTTGCCTGGATCACACCAGCTGTGATCGTGATTACTAGTGTAACTCTCGATAAAACAAACACTGTCATCATTGGATACGGTGAGTTGAATTATAGATTGAAATAAGATCAAGTGAGATGTTAAAAGATTTAGTCATATAGCATGCATCTTTTCCTTGTTGCTCACACCTATCGACCAATGAGCGCGCGCGTAGTGTTTCAGTCCTTCTATAAAATATTAAGGTTAAGAGCGTAAAACAAGAACGAACCGAATGCCAAAAAAAGGCTAATGATAAAAATGTTCAGGTTAAAATCATAGAAGACAAGTGAAGATGAACAACGCGTCCGCTGAAATACAAGCCTGGGCAGTTAACTTGTGTTGTGAAAAATGAAGTGTAGTCTACTCGGGATGCGGAGTACCCGGGGGGGGGGGNGGAGAGACCTCCGTATGAAAAAGTCGGGGATGCTAGTCGTAAAATTTGAAATAAACCCTAAAGGAGACCAAGCTGGGCATAAGCTTTATTTCAGGCCCCCAAAAGATATCACTTAAAACGGAATAGGCTTCCTCTGTTCAGGAAAGGAGACCGCGCTAGTAGACCGTTTTCGAGAGAACGGCAGAAGTCGAGCCTAAAAACGGAAATAAGAGCGTTTATTAAGTATTCTTGTTTCTTCGGTTGCACCCTTAGAGATACTTTGAAAGCGAAAAATAGTGGCGTTTCGTCATGAACAAACAAAGTGACACCAGAATCCCTGATTTGTATGCCCCTAGGTGAGATGAAGAGCATTCCCGACATTTTCATTTGGGAGTCCAAGTATACCAGGGACCAAGTATACCAGTTAACAGCCGCATGAATTTGTTCCCGAACTTATTGAATGTTTTAAGTATTTTTTTTCAAATTTCCCCCTCACTAGCTGAAGTATTCTGCTGGATTTCGAATGGGAGAGCACTGCTACTGGTTCTTGGTGTTCCTGTGGCTATGATTTTGTTGTTTAACGTCGGGGCTCTTACTTTGACGATGATTTCTATTTGGAAAGTACAAAAGGTACTATTAGAATGTTTTTGTTATTATTATTATTATTATTATTATTATTATTATTATTATTATTATTAAATGCCGCTGAAAGTGAGTAGATGTAAGTTAGGTTAGTCACAGCTGTAGGTAAATAATGCCAAATGAGCTTGATCTAATTTTGTATACATAACTAAGTAAAGAAATTTCCCTTAAATTTGCTCAGAAAGCTTCTTACAGTAGTTCTATTGAATTTGCCGCAAATGATAAATTTAGCAAAAAATGATCAATTTCTTCGTTTGCAAACTGACTCGTTTCAAGTCATTCATACCAATACTAACTTTGGCAAATCATTCACTGTCCAATAACTATAGCTTGTTCTGTGGTGACGTGATTTCGGAACGATTAATACTGAACTTAGTATTAGCAGTGATTATAAAGAATTCTTGACCACATCAATTTACATTTTTTTTACTGCGTTGAGCTAAAACCGCCTATGTCAGGACCGTTCTGTCTGTTATTTCTGCTTGCCTCACACAGACCACCCGCCGCGTGACAGATCAGAGTAACCAGACCTGCCTGCCTATCCTGTACATCAAACTGTCATCAGTAATGGGATTTACCTGGATATTAGGCTTTATCGAACCATTCACGAAAGTCGAATTTCTTGCTTATCTCTTCGTCATTTTAAACAGTCTTCAAGGTAAGTTCTAGCACTGTGGTGAAAGAGGTCTACTGCATTAAACTGTATTTTTTAAATCAGTCTACTCAGATAATACTAAGATAGAGCATCTTTCATTTGAGCTTGCAAAGTAATTTATGTTCGTTTGCTTTTGTTCTGTACATCGTGCGATTAGCTTAAAAAAAGATACTCGCGCCACTTTGTTATCCAATCATCAGAAGTAAAACCAAAACCAATCTTAACTATAGAGTAGTTTAATTTTCATTGAGTTTCGCAAAGGAATTCGCTTTGCATTACTACTGTACCCAATAGAGGTTTTGCTCGGCAGCCATGTCGCATGGCAGGAACAATAGATTCTTTTTCCTTTGGGAAAAAATGTTCTTTCTAATTCAAAACATTTTTATTGTTTCTGCAATGCAACGTGGCTGTTCTATAAAACCTCTATTGGCTTACAAAACTCGCGCCACTTTTTCATCCAATTAGAAGTAAAACCACAATCGTGACTTGTTCGCACACCTTTTCCCGCGCCTCGCGTCAGCTACATGTAATTACTTCGAGTTTTGATTGGTTGACTTGTCTGTGTCCTTTGTGATTGGCCAGAGTGATTACTTTGGTTTTGGGTTTACGACACTCAATTGAAAACCACTTTGTTCAGTGCTACACTCAATTGAAAACCACTCTACTGATGCTGGTTTTGACCTACATACCTACTGCTACTATAAATTACACAATAGACTTCATCGTCTCATCAAATGATTAATTATAGTGATTAATTATAGCTTTCATAACTAAGTCCCATACAGCAAAATGACCATTATACAATGCAGCTACCTCATTGGCTAATAATTATTTCTTTATTAATTCATGTGTTCATTTATTTATTTATTTATTTATTTATTTATTTAGTTCGTTAATTGGTTAGTTAGTTATTTTTATTTCCTGTTTATGTATGAAAAAATATCTGTCCACAATAGGTAAGGAAACATATGAAACTGTCCACTTTGCTAGTGTGTTTACTCGGATGAACATTTCTTTCAGGGTTCTTTATCTTCCTCGCTTTTGTGGCAAACAAAAGGACGTTGAACAAAGTGAGAGCTGGCTGGATGGCACGATTTCATCGATTGGGAAATACAGATACGGCCACACCCCAGTCCAGAGAGACCCGCCCCAGCGAGCTCGTCACGTCGACTTTGTAGTTTATTTGTGACAATTGAGTTTTGCACGTTTGTAAATTTAACGGCGTCGAAAGGAAAAATTGTTGGTAACGTTCCCTAAAATTTAACTGAGAACAATTTGGCGTAAACTCGATTTTCCAATGGCAAGTTAATGCTAAGCTCGGAGCAGTTGAATAAGAAAAGAATGAGATTTTGAGGCCGTTTTTGAACGCCCAAGACAAAAATAATAATATGCTTATTCAAACCTCTCGCAGTACATAAGTAAGTACTGGATTACAGGTTTGGTCAGCAGTAAATAATACCAATAATTATACTTCAATATAAATATGAAAGTCACGGATGTCAAGCAGTAGTGTCACAACCGAGGCACACTTGTTTGTGACGAAGTCACCAAACCTATTGGCGGCACGGACAGTTAATTAAATTGCTAGGTCTCAAAGAAAAAGAAAAAAGAAAAAAAAAAAAAAAAACAGTCATGCGGAAGATTTGTGAAAGCTGTGACTGAATTTTTTGAGGTTAGAAAATCATTTATAAATAGCTAGGTTACCATGGTAATACAAAATAATCTCGTCCAAATTGTTAAAAGAATTACCACCAAAATGTTTTTTCAGGATTTCGGATCTCACGCACATAGAGATGTGTTTAGTCTGTCTTTTTAAGCTACATGCAACCGCTAACAGAATTGTAGAGGCTCTGCTACAAGAATTATGTTCTTCCTAAAAAAAAGGCATCGTCATGTACTCGTTTTGTAATGATTCTCTCGTCAGTAGGGTTGTTAGTTCAGTTACCGATTGCGAATGGATATTTACATGAAGAAAGACCAGAATACCTCTGATGAAAAGACAAACAATTGATATTTTACTGAACGAAGAGTAACCATTTGCAGTCTCAAACCAGTGTAGGTATAGCTGAGATCCTTCAATTTACATAATTTTACCTTAAGCTAGAACTTGCGCTGATTATCAATTAAATCTCTGTTGCTATTCGTTTCATTTGCTTTTTGTTTTGTTAGTGGTGCGCATGCGTTCAGACTGAAAAATCAGGCGTACACATGCTAGATGATCATGACGTCATTCTTGTGATCAAATATCCTCGCTAGAAATAGAGAATTTTACCATTGATTGTACGTAAATTTTGTCTGATCCAAACTGAACTCTCACTAGGACATAAATTGCTTCTCCGAGAATAAAGAAAGAAGACGAAAACGTCTTAATGAATGAACCAACGCGAGATCATATGAATCAATAAATAGATGGATGTCTCCACCCACCAACCAGCCATCACACCCACCCACCATAAACCAACCTGCCAAACCACCCACCCACACAACAACCAACCAGACCAAGTTAAGACCCAGACCCAGCCCACCATTCGATTTTCTCGGGTAGGTTTGACAACGATAACTGAAATAGCTGTAAACGAAACAAGAAAAATCACTAACTCGAATTAACCTGGTTTCTCTTTCAGACTGTAATGTCTGCAAAATGTGATAAGCGCGCGCCATTACTTAATCGCTAGCAAAATGGGGTTCAGCCAAGACCATCCGTCAAAAAGACCTCGCGGTTGGGTATGGGGCGGGGATGGCATTGTATAAGTAATCTAATGCAGTGGCATTGTCAAGTGAACACTCGCGCATTAAGCTCTTCCTCTTTTGAGTATACACCTTTACAGCTTTTCAACTTCTAATCAAACTAGCACTCAATTCTTGCTCTGTGCCTTGCTAGAGCTTGGAGGGTAGCTTTCTTCAAAGCACTAGCCAGTTTCAGAGGATTTCTTTAGAGAGGTTGCTGTGTAGTATTCTTAAAGTTCTATTTTATTAAGGTTTTGCATCATTTCCTTGCCCTTCCTTGTCTCCGTTGGCAGTTTTCTTGCATATTACACCATATTAACATTAAGGTATATATTAATTAACTTTTCTCGCTTTCGACTTCCATTTCTCCAACCTACTTGTTGGGACCAAAGTTTACTACCCCTCCCATGGCCAAAAAATGGTTCAGCAATCTTCCTAATCATCTTAAGCCAGTTGTGCCTCTCAACCAAAAGCCTTAGGTTCAATATCGAGCGAGGAAATCACAATAATTTATTTCCTCATCTTAATCAGTCATTCCTGGTTGGCCTAAAACCCCCTTAAACAATCATGTCACTTTCAAAACACTGTCAAAACCCAAATTATTGAAAGAATTTTTTTTTTCGGAAATGCGTGTTCTTTTCATCGTTCGTGAAATACAAAGAATGTCAAATTACTTCTTTGACATGAATTTGAGTTGGCAAGCATAAATGTTGGCCAACATAAGTTGCATATGGTCAGGAAACTTTCAAATGCGATTAACTTGTATGAAAAAAAACTATACCGCAAACTGCTGCTTATAAGCCCTGCCGCTTATAAGGCCCATCTACCTGTAAACAAAATATCACTTCCGATTATAAGCCCCCCCCCTTCCCACCCTTCAAGATATAAACCCTCCTCTATTTTAAAATGAAGGTATTCGATTTATTACGATGTTTTAAAAAACAATTAAAAACCCGTACATGAAAAATGTATTTCAATCAACATTGCTGTAGCCAATTGCAAAACGTTTCTTAATTCCGATTATAAGCCCCCTGGATTTAAAGGTCCCTAGTCAACCTCTCCCATTTTCGCTGCCATCAAAATTATTGATATTGCACGGTGAAGCGAAATCTTATTGCTTTACCATAAGTTGTGTTCCTGAAAGTATGTTTAACTGTCTTCAGCAGCTTCACAGTGATTTCCTTCGTTTCGAGATGCTCCGAATAAAATTTAATAGCCAAACTCTCCCAAACAAAAACAAAGGTGTGGCTGACTAGGATCCCGTTAAGCCCCTTCGTTTATTAGCCCTTTCAAAATCCCTCACAAAGTTTCATAAGCCCAGGGCTTTTAAGCTGCAGTTTACGGTATCTTAACTTGTCAAAGGTTCTACAACAACACTGGCTCGCTTTGAAACAACTGCAGATAACTCAGCAGTGACTCGTCACAAAGTTGGAGCCAAATTAAGCCAGCTAAGTTATTGTTGACTTACTTTAAATTCAAATATGAAAACTTTTCTTGAACGCAGTACGAAAGTCTTTAAATCGTTGCTCGTCTCTCAAGTTTAAACCCTTAAGTTGGATAATTACATTCTCTTTAAATTTGCTTTAAACAGCTGACTGCTAGGAACCACGCTATCCCTTCAGGTTGGATTGGGAGTCCGAAACGTGTACGTCACGCGCGTTAGCCACGCACCAAACTGAACTACTACCGGAAGCGAGATTTACTCTGTGGACGATACACTTGCTCTTTCATTTAACGTATACCCTTATACCCATTTGTTCCTTTACAAGCTAAGATGGCAAGGCTACAAAATACAAAATACACTCCTTTTGTCCGGCCTACAAAATCAGCCAGTTGATTGCCAGGTATTACAGAATCGTTCCCTGAAACAACTAGCGAACAAAGCTTAGCAATACTTCTAAAATTCATCGTGTAGATATCCAACATAGTTAGCCATGGTGCTCCCAGTAAAAAGCTGGTAGTTCATAAGCATTTCTTTTTCTGACAAGTGGTCGTCACGATTTCTGTCCGCCATTGATATCAGATAGTTGCCTTCGTTAATCGCTCGCTGCTCGTGGGTTGGGTCCAAGTACTTGGTTAATTCGTCAACCGTCACTATACCGTCTCCGTTTTCATCCATGGATGTGAATTCTTTTTCACGTCTGAAAAAGATGAAAGTAGAAAACTTATAGGAGGGTCTCATTTCTCTTGTGAGTAATAGACATCTTAGAACTGAATTACCATTGCTTTTTTTTTTTTTTTTTAAACTTAAAAATAAATTCTCATTGTTTAAAAAGTTACAAATTTATTTTGATGACATTACTTGACGAAATTCATAAACAATAACATGACAGATGCATAAAAATCTGACGTCAATTTGCTAAATTGATAACAACTCCCCCCCCCACTCTACCGAAACCCCTTACATCAAGAATTGTACCCCTCTCAGAAACATTGTAATCACCCTGGCTAACAGTTGACTAATAGAATGGTCAACATTCTTACATCTGCAGCATCTGTACAGCACAAGTTGCTTTGTCAGTAGAACTCAAACCAATAATATGTGAAAACTAAACGTGCATACATATATACATGTCTATATACATCCAAAATTTGTATTAATAGCAAACATGTATGCTCAGCCACACACACACACACACATCATATTCTAAGCAGGTTGCATCACTGCAACAGTTGTTAGCAAAAGTTATCCCTAACCAAGAACAGCTGGCGACAGTCAATGGAGGGGGAGATGATGGAAGCAGGCTTCGACTAGCAACAGTTAAAGAGACATTCCTAAAGAACCTGCATGTGCATGCCCCCCACGGGGTGAAAGGGTTTAAGTCAAGTAAGTCAGGAACAAATACATGAAGGAAACCTACTCTTGAATGTATTCATTGTCCTGCTCTGCATCTTCCTGTGTATCCACTTCCCCTGGAGGTAAGTGAACAAACTCTTCCTTTGTGAGTACCTGTGTGTAGGATTTACAACAGAGTTGAAAGGCTCTTCATTATACAGTCGAAGCTCTCCTTGTGACCACTCGCATAAGCAACAAGCTCTAGTGACCACCACTTTTTCAAAGTTTCTGAGGGGGTCGCTTACGAGAGTATTTAGATATGGGGTTATTTTGGTGTAAAAAACTGAACGTAAAGTTAGGCCATGTATATCAGATAGAAAGACACTCATTACACATAAATTTCTTTTGTTTTTTCTCCATGAATTATTAATGAGTTTCTGAAGCTCTCGTAAACGACCACCCTCTATTATTTTACCATGCAGTCGCTTGTGAGCAACCAGCTCTAGTCACAATCTTTTTTTCGAATTTCTGAGGAGATCGCTTACAAGAGCTTTGACTGTCTAGTAGACTGTTACCTTGAAATGCTTACAAATACCCATTTAGCTACAAAGCCAACACTGTACAACATACAACATACAACATATACATGTACAATGTAGCCAAGCCAGCCACACAGTATCTATGCACACATACATGTATATGAGAAGCAGTGAAAACATTTTTGGATCTAACTGCCAAATTCTCGGTGGGCTGAATTCATGCAAGTTGGATTACAGGTTTCCCACTAGTATACAGTCATGTAGGGTGCAAAGAAAATCATTTTGAATTCCATGTTGTCCTTTAAACTAGCATAATCAGTTGTTCAAAAGCTAAAATTAAAACTGAAATAATTTTATCTCTTACAATATGGCAATCCCCCCACCAATGAGTTTTCTCACACTTTACTCCAAAAACATTCACTTGCCCACTAGGCAAGAACCCAGTTACCCGACCAGTCAGTCACCAGTCACCAGCCCTGGAATATTTGCAGGCTTCTAATAGTGATTCAGAGACCCAGAGTGATGTCTCACTGGTGTGTGGACTAAACTTTAGTTCCTCACTGTGACATGAAGCAACTAGTGCTACTGTTACTATACACTGTAGTGCTGTCAGTGGGATGTTATTCCTTCACCCTCTCCTCCCCTCTCTCGCTAACATTCCCACATCAGAAACTACATGTATAAAGGAAGTATGAAGCTGTAATTAAACAGAATTTCCAGTTTCTCCTTTTCACATTTGAAATTAACTTTTGTTGCAAACAACCTTCCTAGGGAGGGTATGGATATTTTCTGGAACAACACAATGTGACATTTCATAAATGTATGTGCGAAGTCTTACGTTGGGATGGAGAGACAGAGAGGGGCACGGTGATCAGTGAAGAAAAAGCTTCTCTTGTCCAAGAACACTACCTAACTACCCGACCAGCGCTTTCCAATTTGAAATCAAACACAGTCATTAGGCCAAAGCACCTACCAGTCTTTTTAACTAAATGACACCTGAACATAATACAAGATAATTTTTTTACCTTATCCTGGTTTTTGTCAAAATTTGAAATCATGTCTTCCACCAAATCCTTGATGCTCTGTGGATTGTGCTCAGGGTGTTCAAAGTACAGGAACTCTGTCTCCTCAAGTTTATCATCGAGATTCATGTCTCCTCTTCTAAATTTACTGTAATATTCTGAAATTAATTCCTCTGGATTGGCGATGTCATCTACAAATGGGTAAGAAAAAGGTCCAAGATTACTGCTCTGTAACTTTCCATGCATTTTATTAGCTTGGATGATACATGTATATGGAACAGTGAGATCCAACAGTGAAACAATAATCATTCTGATAATTTTTCTTCAAGAGTTCCATCGATTTTGGGATGACAAAAGAATATTCACCAAATTTTCACAAGCTACATTTACATGTAAACCAGGTCTATGTTAGTTTTGGGACGTACTAATAAATTACAGACTCATTCACAAACCCCTTAACTTTTTTAATAATATTGCATGCCCTTCTCCCTTGAGAGCAACTAAGAATACAACAAGGTAGTCCAGTTGTTTACACACACAATTAAATAGCCAATCTTTTTTGTTTCATCTGTGATAGCCCTTTGCCTTTTACAGTGCAGGAAATTAATGCTTGCCTACTCACCAATGCAAGTGTGAAATGCATCGGGCAAGTACAAATCATCAATCATTCGCCCGTTTGGCGAGCACGATTTTATTTTTTGGGAAATTGTAAAACATATGGTTTGTGAATCATTGGGAGATTTTTTTGGATAGGGGAGGCATTTTCTGGGTAAGTGAAAATTACACCGGGCGACAGCATTTTGAGAGTTGCTCACCTGAATGGCGAGTGCTGTCAAAATTTAGTTTCCAACACTGCTTTTAGAGCAATTGGTTAATCATTTACGAAATATCAAACCCTTGCATTTGGAAAGAAATTTTACCCTGGAACACCAAGTTAAAAAAATGAACCTTGCAACTTTGTCAACTAGATAATGGTCAAACAATATCATGTAGCATGCATGAATGATTTCAAGAGTTCAGACCATTTCTGTATTTTGTTTCTCCTTTCCATCATTTTTAAATGAAAATTAATCAAATTACAATGCTTTACACATGCTCCTGAAGAGGAAACTAGTGCCAACTGAAACAGATATCACTTTTGAAAATTATCCATTCACTAGGAGTTCTTGATTTCTGGTGTGGTTGTTCCGAGTTTGAGCCAGATGATCATTCCGTGCTCGTTGGTTAATAAAGCAAGTAAAAATTGTCAATGCCCACGTTTTCACAAGAGATGTCTACCTTGGTTTTGTTTTAACTTTACTGAAGTGAAATTTTTAATCATGTAAACACAGTAGCAAACCTCGGTAAATGGCAGCAAAATCAAAAGTAAGCCAACCTAGGTTTGTTGACAGTTGAACGCCTCATCAGGCATGGTTTAACTCAGAGACCAACGGTAACCAAGGAAAAGCCAGCTGAAAAGCAGACATTGTCGCAATATCTTGGCACTAAGTGTTCACATGAGCAGCACGTACTGTAAAGAAGAGAAAAATAGACAAAGATTCCTCTTAATGTAAGTAGGTTTCAAGTCAACCAGCAAAAAATGCTTAATAAACTCAGGTTTAGGCAAAACCTGAAAAAACCTGAAAGAGCCATCAGTGAAGAATGCCTTCATCTCTCAACTCAGAAATCGATTTCAATCCTTGGCGGTTCTGTCTGATGAGCCCGAACCTGATGAAGTCAACAATATATGGAAGCAAGTGTCATTCACTTTGACAGAGAGCAGCAAGGCATGTCTAGGTTTTAAGAAGGCAGTAAAGAAGAAAAAGTGGATAAAGCCAGCAACCTTAAGGTTGCTAGAACGCTATAAGATCCAGTACAGAGAGGCTGACCAAAGTGTTAAGAGAATGGCAAGAGCCGACAAATGCGCATATATTGATGAACTTGCTAGGCAGGCAGAGAATGCAGCTAACAGAGGAGAGCAGGGAAAGGTTTACAAAATCACAAAACTGGTATGTGGCAAGTATGGGGGCAGAAAGGTAGCCCCTGTTAAGAATTTTCAGGGTAGACTGCTTACCACTGAAAGAGAGCAGGAGGCTTGTTGGGCAGAGCACTTTAAGGATGTCCTCAACAGACCCCCACCCACAGTTGAAGCTGACATTCAAGAGNCAGAGAATGCAGCTAACAGAGGAGAGCAGGGAAATGTTTACAAAATCACAAAACTGGTATGTGGCAAGTATGGGGGCAGAAAGGTAGCCCCTGTTAAGGATTTACAGGGTAGACTGCTTACCACCAAAAGCGAGCAGGAAGCTCGTTGGGCAGAGCACTTTAAGGATGTCCTCAACAGACCCCCACCCACAGTTGAAGCTGACATTCAAGAGGCTGAGACTAGACTACGAGGAATCCCTCTTTCGCTTAGTCCAAAGCCTGTTGGCAGATTCGCAAGGATATCATGGTTTGCAAAGCGTGATTCCAACGCTTTGATTTGCTCTGGTACCGCTTCGATTTGCTCCAGTTCCAAAACATTCCTGCAAGACGTCACACGTATCTCGAATGTTGACAACATGTTGTCAACGCTCCTAACATAAGCCAATCATATTTTTGGGTTGTGAGAGCAACGCATAATTCAAACTCTAGGGCTTAGGCGCGTGCTCCTCGCCCCCAGGATTTCGTGCAGCCATTTTTTTCTCGCGGTTTTCTTTTGCGTCACACACAACGGACTAAGCAAAAGAGGGACTACTCGTAGTCTCGGCTGAGACCGACCTGGATGTGAACACAGATCCTCCAAAAAAGCAGGAAATCATTCCAGCCATAAAAACCTTAAAAAACAACAAAGCTCCTGACCAAGACAACCTGAATGCGGAGCTTTTCAAGGCTGACCCTGAACTTTCAGCAAGGATTCTACAGCCCCTGTTTACTGCAGTGTGGGAGCAGGAGAGAGTGCCAGATGACTGGACCAAAGGTACCATCATAAAGATCCACAAAAAAGGTCCACTAAGCGACTGCAATAACTGGCACAGCGTCACCCTCCTATCCACCCCAAGTAAAATTCTGGCAAATATTATCATCCAACGAATCTCCAGTGCAGTAGATCAGCAGCTCAGGCAAGAACAGGCTGGATTCCGCAGGAGTAGGGGTTGTGCAGATCAGCTATTCACACTGCGTAACATCATTGAGCAATGTACCGAATGGCAGAGGCANGTGGGACTAAACATCAGCCCCACCAAAACAGACGCCATGACCCTTAACGTCTCTAACCCTCAGCCCATCAAGGTGAATGGAAAAGACCTCCCAATGACCGATCAGTTTAAATACTTGGGCAGCATGGTGGTGCAGGCTTAGACATCCAGAGCCAGCTAAACAAAGCCAGAAACACCTTCGGGATACTGAACAATGTGTGGCGGTCGTCACAGTACAGTACACATACCAAGCTCAAGATCTATCAGAGCTGTGTTCTGTCTACCCTTTTGTGTGGGTCAGAATGTTGGCGAATGTTGGAAAGTGATCTGGGAAAGCTGTCAACCTTTCACACCAAAAGTCTGCGAAAAATACTTCGCATCTTCTGGCCTCAGACCATTTCCAACAAGGATCTGCTTTCGTGGTGCAAACAGGAGGACATGGGTACTATTATTATGCAATGACGCTGGAGGTGGATTGGCCATGTCATTCGAAAGGATAATGACTCCATCACAAAGACAGCACTATACTGGACTCCCGAAGGCAGGCGCAAGCATGGTAGGCCTAAGAATACATGGCGTTGTACTGTTGAGACAGAATCAAGGGGCTTAAAACAGAGCTGGAATAAGATCCAACAGCTGGCCAAAGACAGATGGAAGTGGAAGAACTTTGTTGAGCCTTTTGAAATTATCAAAGTCAAGCCAAGGGGCAGTTTAGATGAAGATGCTGCTTGTGAGAAGGTATGGGATATTTTCTGGAATCACCAAATTAGCAAATATTATCCTTATGCCATTTTTTTTATTTGGTAATATTTAGATCAATTAAACTACATGTATACTATACAGCTAATAAGTAGTATATGGCAGCAATATTAGTGAACATTTAGGCAATGCTGATAGTTGAGTGCAAGTTACTTTTAAAAATAACTTTTGTGTTACAAGACTTCATGATCAATAACTTACCAGGTCCATGTTATACAGTTACATTAATTAAGCTTGTAATGACTGACCTATATTAATGAAGAGTGTGTCCATGAGGAAACCAGGCAGAACCAGGCAGGAGGTGATACAGCTCAAATCCTGGATTTCGCAAAATCGCGTCTAAGTGACGTGTATGTCGATATCGTGAGAATTTCTCAAGATATAGCTCAGAAAATATTTATTATTGCAGGTGCCAAGCCTGAGCAACAGTAAGGAGCCAATTTGAACTGGCATTAAATTAACTGAAATTAAACTTAATTAAATTAGGATATGGATTAAAAGTGTCTTCTCATGCAAGTTAATTTACCAGTGTGCAGTTAAATTAGAACACACAACGAAAAAAACAATTGTTAAGTAAGGACTCCAAGTTAATTCACTCATATTGCTTACATTGATGGTAATGGTTGTCATTAGAATTACATCATCAACATACATTGTACACTATAACCATGAATATCTTTTTTCACTTAAATATTCAGACTTACGTGCGCTTCAGCCATCGGAAACCAGTGAAGGCTGGAATTTCATGGCGATCCAAGACTGTGGAATGGAGCTCTCATTAAGAGATTCATTAGAGGCAATTCAACTCATTATTTGCTCACCGAGGTTTGTAAACCTTATATGTAAATCTTAAATGATAATGACAATTATCTTATGATTAATAAATAAATAAATAAATAAATTAATTAATTATTATAATTATGGCTATGTAGCTCTGGGCACATTTTTAGCATATATCTAGCTTGTGCATGTGTCGAAAGTCTGAGAAAATTACATGTAACAAAATTGTGTATAACTAATGACAAATTCTGAATCCACTTTACAGATACAGCTCATGTAGAATTGTTTTTCCCTTTGTGAACAGTAGGTTTATGTGCAATGTATTTTTAGTATCAACTGAAATTTTTGCCAATTAGGACTCTTTTCTTGACTATCCACTCAATTTCTAAACGTAATTGTCTCTTACTAGATGATTTAAGTCAAAGATATTCTTAAGCTGTTTATAAACAGTAACAAGATAATTAGAAAAAATAATTTATTATATTCAGCCTTTGGAAACATTTTATTCAGTATCTATATATTAGATGTTGTAAAGCTTAAAAGTTAATAGTCAAATTACAGTACCAGCAAATCTCTGAGGTTTCATTAAGGACCGGACACCGGGCATATTGACGGGCTGTGAGGATGATTTTGCTAGTTAGTTTGGACATCTAGAGGAGAATTTTACTTTAATAATAAATAAAAAAAGTTCAGTCCAAGAAAGTTTTGCCTGCTTGTCAAAACCAGCTAAAAACATTAATGAACCTCTGTGAAAAATGTTTGTGCAACAGAGGCCTTACTTCTTGAAAATGGGTGAAAACTCCAGCTTTTGAGTTAATAATTAGACAAGTACGATTTTTTTTTTATTAAAGGGAAGTCGTGAATCTGACGAGTCACAAGTGCTTCCTTCAGGTAAGATGCCACCCTGTTGCCTCATTATGTAATAGTCAGATGTTGTAGTAAAAAGTCCTTCTGAAGAAATGCAACTGGTAATTTCAGTCTGAAGTAGGTTTACTGTGTAAGAAGGTAGATTGACCAGTTTTAAGAGCATTGCTGGCTGCCGTGCCAATATAATCTACTGCAGCATAACTTGCAAAATGTTTAACATTGGTGATTCAGGAGGAAGCCTGGCTCAATTTTTTGAGGCGAGATATTTTATTTTGCAGCCTTTTCAAAGTTGTTACTGAGATGGGCTTGGTCGGTAAACCATCTGAGATTTGAATGTCACATTTGTGTACAAAAATGGTCTCGATAGAATATACTACCTTCTTCACGAATGTTTTAAAATAAACGTGTCAGCGTTAGATTTTCTTCAGTGATCCTCTCGTAAAGAAACATTTCAGCAGCATTAGTAGCCAAGTGCATTTCGCGCTGTGATACTGGAAAACGATGAAGGACGGACCATTTTTTTTTTTTTTTTTTAGGTTGGAGGGAGGGGGGCTGGGCAATTTTCTGGGACATGAATTTTTTTTCTCAAGAGTAGGTTGGGCATAATTGTTTTGGAATGCCTAGCCCCCTCTCCCCTCTAAAAAATATTGGTCCGTCTCTAAGCAAGAGCGATTCTCAGAGGTCAGTTATCCGTGTAAGGCAGTAGGAGACTTACATGAAGGCTATACAGTTAAAACCTTGACTATTTAAGTGGGCAAATGCCTGGCATTGTAATGCGCCATTTCGGAATTGCTCTTTGCCTCAGGACTCGTTTTGAAACAGAATTAAAAGGTAACTCCGAAATGGCCTTTTGGCTTCCCATCAATCTAAACTATTCAGATATACAAGTTAAAGTAAACACATTTACTTTGTTATCTTGTTTTTGATTTGTCTCTAACTTGAGGATTAGTCCTCGTTTGTTGCTTTTTTCTCCTAAACCATTGATTGTAACCACATAATCTGAATAATCTTGTTCAGATTCAGAAAGGCTTCTTAAAACCCTCCCATGGAAGGAAAGGGAACCCACGATCAGAGACTTTCTTTTGGCTCCAACGAAGCTTGGACCGATGAAATTGCAGATGAAATTGTGAAATACTTTTCACCATCAGAAGGTCATAAAGGTAACCTGATATAGATAGCTGACACCAATGTGTGATTTACTTGTATTCCAAGCCTAGGGAAATCCCTGTTGAATAAGTTTATACAAAATGCAGTTTTGTGCGGCTGAAAAGAACTACTTTACGGGTGGTACATCTTAGAATTTTTGACCTGAAATTTTCAACTTAGTTCGTCATCCACCGCGCCGGTAGCGCAGAGGTCGTGAGTTTGTTTCCCGTTTATCCCTTACTGTAGTTATTTAATTAAACACGGCTCTCGAATAAACGCCGCATTTTAGTACAGAATAAACGCCGCTCTCGAATAAACTCAAAATGCAGATGCAGTAATAATCAAGTTTGAAGAAGCCTAAAAAATATATTTTCCTTCATTGTAACAATTTTTTAATATCAATGCATTCGAAGCTCAAAGGAATATAATCAAAATACGAGAACAATATATGGTAGTTCAGCTTCAAAAAGTGCAAATGTTCAGTTACCATACTATTGTTTGATGTGAAATTTATATGAAATAATTCATATATGAACTGCGGTTGTGGATGAAAGTGAAGAATGATCATCGCAGTTAATTTTCCAATTTAAGCAATTGG